ACGTTCTTGAATGACGTGATTTCGGTTTCCTGATTCCTGGTTCAGGGACTCGCGACGAGTTTCTGAATCGCCCGAAGGGAGTAGGAGGAGGCCGCAGACCTAAAACCCTGAACCAGGCTTTGGAACGATCTGTCGTCCCGTTTTCCCACCCGGCCTGATCTGCCACCTGGCACCACACCGTGCCAGGCCTCAGGCGATCGCAGGGGGACAGCTAATAGGGTTTGGGACTTAGATCTCAACAGCCAAGGAAAAGGAGCCTGGTAACATGTCGTGGGCAACTTGCAATGTTGCACTCCGACTCTGATTTGTGAGCCCTGAAACTGCCTCCTGTCGGAGGTTTCGGAGAGTTCCCTCTACACATCGCATGCCCTCATAAGCCATCGGATAGCTCGTCGCATCCTAAGCCCTACAAACATCCGGGCGGCGTAGCGCCTAAGTCTTGAGTTCTCATACTTCTGGCAGCTCTCAAACCTCTCTGTTCAGGCGCTGTGTTCTCCACACTTGCCCACAGCTTCTTGAGTTCAGGGCTCATTTAACTGCAAGGTAACCTGGATGTGCGACTCACCCAACGCCTGGCAGATGCAGCGCAGGGATATCTCTTTGAGGTGTCGGGCTTAGCGGGACCCCGAATTCAGGCTGTCGGGTTTAGGGCTTCCGGCGTTCAAAGACGACCAGCAGCGAAGGATTCACCGAGGAAAGGGCTCTATCAAGGTATGGCCTCAAAAAAAGCCCGAGCCTCGCGAGACACCACAATGATGGTGGGCGGCGTGGAATCCGTGATCCAGACATTTTCCGTGAGCCCTGCACCACTGGACAGTGAGACGAATGCATCTGCAAGCTGACGACTACGGCAACTACGGAGATTCATCCAGCCTTGGATCCCGCAGCAACTCAGCCCGTCAAAAACCAAGCAAGCCAACAGCGAAATTTTCGTCCCGCGCGCCTCCAGAAGGGTTGTTGACGTCCTCACGGAGGCAAGGCCGTCACAAAGCTCTGCCGGAGTTTCCCCCAAAAACGCCTAAACCGTAACCCGCTAAACCCTCTTCCAAAACCCTGTGTGAGCCTATATCCCCCAACAGGCAAAGGCTGTCCCTCTGGGCACTATCATCAATTCCGATGGTAACGTCTTGAGAACTCTGAGTCTCGGGCAGCTCCAACCGCTGTCTCCACTGTGCTTTGGGACATGTAATTCGGCCGCGGAAAGCCATGAGTATCCACCTGAGACACCACTGCTGCTTCGGCAGTGTTGAGCAGGCTCCTAGCACGGCCTTTGTTTTCACGGAACCCAAAAAAGAATCCATAATTTGGCCGCACGCGCAATCACTAGCTCACGTTTGAAGACGATCGTCTCCTCGACCATTATCCGCTGAGGCCCTCGCGGCACTGTCTTTGGCCCAGCAGTACACGTCGTACAGGGAGGCTTCGTAAAGCACACTGCAAAGGAGAGCTGGCAGTCTATGCTCGGGTGCACATCAAAAAAACACTTACTGTACTTTGGGTTCATCCTCGACCACGCTCCATGATGGGATCTGCCTGAAGCTTATCTGAATACTTTGGGGCACACTTTCTCGCACAGAGAGAACTGACGGATCGCAGCAAAGAGTAAACTCAGTGAGCCCTAGACCCCAATCTCCAGCCTGCATGGCAAGTCCCGGCCTTGTGGGATCACGCGCCTCAAGGCTTGTGATGGTGATGGTGCCCACGTCAAGCACTGGGTCGATGATCTCCTGTCAGTCTGTGGGGGTTTAGGAAATAAGGATTCCCTAATAATAATAATAATAATAATAATAATAATAATAATAATAATAATAATAATAATAATAATACGGACCCCGATAAGGTACCCTTAATTTGGGAAACCATCATGTCACGTCAGCGTCCAGGCTTTGCCTAGAACCTGCTCTTACGGAGACTGATGATGGGCTTGTGCTGGGTTGTGAGCGCAGGGCTCCTGCGAAGGGCCACAGCATGCCCTAAACCCTGAACCCTAAACCCCAAATGCTCCTAAACCGCAAAGCCTAAACCCTAACCCCAAACACTACCTACCATAAACCCTATCCTAAACCTCAAATACTCCTAAACCCTAAACCCTAAACCCCAAACCCTACACCCGAAATCCTACTCAAGGTTGGGCCTGGGAAAAGTCTGCCGACAAGATCTGGTTGATGTGCAACGTGGGCTCCGCCGAGTCGCTCCTCCGCTTGGGGAGGAGGGGGGGGGGGTAGGGGGTTAAGTTAGGGTTTAGGGTTTCGGGTTTCGGGTTCAGGGTTTGGGGTTTGGGGTTTAGGGTTTAGGGTTTAGGGTTTAGGGTTAGGGTTTAGGGTTGAACCAGACCCAAACTGAGCCCCTAAGCCCTAAATTGTCCCCAAAACCCGAAACCCTAAACCCGAAACCCTAAACCCTAAACCCTGAGCTGTCCCCCTACAGCAAGATGTCTCCTAGAAGCGTTGAGGATCAAGGCATGGAAGCTGTGGCTACAAGCGGCTTGGTAAGAGTGCCACGGAGTCTGAAGGGCTTCTGTTCTAGGTGCATGGTTTTGGGTTTAGGGTTGAGGGTTTGGGGTTTAGGGTTTGGGGTTTAGGGTTTAAGGTTTAGGGCAGCGTTGGGGGGCTGAGTTTGCCGGCTTCGGTCCTCTAGCGAGGACCGGAGAGTGAGGAGGTCGGGGGGGGGGGGGGGGAGCTTTGTTCACGCAGGGGGGGGGGGGGGGGAAGAGGGGGGAGGGGGAGAGGGGGGGGAAGAGGGGGGGGAAGAGGGGGGGAAGAGGGGGGGGAAAGAGGGGGGGGAAGAGGGGCGGGAAGAGGGGGGGGAAGAGGGGGGGGAAGGGAGGAGGGGAAGGGAGGAGGGGGGTAGCTCACTACTCGATCCCTTTGCTCACCTCGAAACGCCTGGGCTTTTGGGGGGTGATGCATATGCCTGGCCAGACGACTGCGCTTAGCAGGTGCTCATGCTGAACTGTGCAGCGGTCCTCTTGGCCCGACAGTAGGCAGTGCCTGCCTTCAGAGCGAGCACGCGGTTGCGAGGATTGCACGACCCGCGAATGCCACAAGCTCACAGCTACAGAGTTGAGTAGAGGGCCCTGAACCCTGAACCCTGAACCCTGAACCCTGAACCCTAAACCCTGAACCCTAAACCCTAAACCGTAAACCCTAAACCCTAAACCCTAAACCCTAAACCCTAAACCCTAAACCCTAAACCCTAAACCCTAAACCCTAAACCCTAAACCCTAAACCCTAAACCCTAAACCCTAGCCTAGTTCATCCCTAAACCCTAGCCTCGTTGAGCTTGAAGGTAACCACGATCTGATTGTTGACGGCCGTGGGGTCTGGAATCTGCAGCCTGCGCAGCCGGCGCTTTACAGTTGTGTTTAGATGTTTGCCATGATGCTACAATATACTGAGGTCTGCTATCGTGTACTGTGAGATACTCTTATATTGCTATGCTAGACTTCAAAATATACTGTAATATACTGTAATATACTGCAACATACTGTAATATACTTAATATAATGGACTATAATGGACTATGAAAGACTATAATAGTTTCAAAATGGACCAATCGACTAGAATATATTCCATGAAAACTACAATACTACTATATGATATCATGTACTTGTAATGCTACTACACTGGTGATTTCTAATAATGGTGGTTTGGGGAGGCATTAATTTTAATTAGGGGGGGGGGGGTTACCAGGGCTTTCTGCTCCCGTGTTTAGGCAAGCGGCTGCGTGAAGATTGGGGGAGACTCGTCCAAGGTCTGCACCTTGCAGCAAAGAAACATTGTGGTGCCCTGGATGGGGCCAGTTTGCACGGCTTGCTTGTTGGGGCCCCGGCGGTGCCGATTGCCTGCTGCATGGTGTACATGTTGTCAGCACCTTAGGGGAGGAGGAGGGAGTAGGGGAGTGGCGTACCAACTTCTGAAGTATGATCCTTGCGGTGGCCACATTTACTCGAGATTCTGCTGTCCTGGTGGGACCATGTCTGTCCGCGACGGCTTGGTCTGTTTGACCTGGTGGTTGTTTTATGCCTGTGGCACAGAAGGGCGGTAGTGGCAACGCAATGTCGACAGTGCAGACTACAACGTGAGACGTCGTCTGCTGGAGTGATTTTAGATTCTTGTTCGCCAGGAGAACCCTTACCAGACCTCACCAGCTTTCTGGCCATGAGATGTTTTGCATGGCCGGGCAGCATTGCCGCTGGCTGACAACGGGCTTGGCTTATAGGCAGTTCTGGGAGAGGGTTGTGATGGTTTATGAAGGCGTCTGCATGCCAGAAGGTCTGGCTCAGGGCTGCAATTGAGCGACACTTCTTCGCACAAAACTTCTGCACTACTCGGAAGCATGCCCTTTTGAACTGTTTCTTTGACGTCGTAGAGTCCAGCAAGACGTTACATGCAATCCCTATGTAAACTCCAAACCATCCTAACTCTTTTAGGGCCGCCACGCACGCCCTTCCCCCCCCCCCCCTCCCCCCCCAAAAATATGTTGCAAGCTGAATCTGGCGCTAGGTGCGCGGCCGCTGGCTGCGTTGTCGAAGAGCATCTTGTTAGGTGGAACCTGGCAAGCCCCTGTATAAGTCCCCATGACACACACAGCCCCGAACAAAAAAGCTACGAAAACCTAAGCCCCTACGACATCCTAAAGCCCCAATTCCCAAATCTGGCTGAGACATGTGCCATGGCTGAGGAGTTGCCATGTGCCAGAAGAGTTTAAGGTTTACGGATGGAGGCCTTTGGGGATGAGGGTATAGAGTCTCAGTGCCTCGTCATCTTGCGCGAAACAGTAGATGAAGGGATAGTCCGTCTCTTCCTCGCAGCGCCACATCATGCAGGCAGGCCACACATGGTTGAGTGCTCAGTGCCCTCACAACGCGTTCGCGGCATGAGAACAACGTGCATGGACCCGGGCCAGAAGGCCAGACACGATGATGTCCACATCCTGCCAAAGCGCTGCAAGCTGGAGGTGCAGCGGTGCAGCAACCCTAAACCCTAAACCCTAAAACCCTAAACCCTAAACCAGCTTGCAAATGAAGGGCTGGCCTGATTGTACTTCCACTTGTAGATGTCATCGTAGTCGGCGCGCGAGTTCACACCTGAGAGACTACGCCTGCACTTTAGCAACTTGGCTGCCTCGGACTGCAGCTCCCAGTTGCTCAATTGGAACTCTACACCCCAAAGGTAGGTCGCATACCGTCCGAGTCTGCATCTTCGATATCATCGAGGTCGTAGACCCAAAACCTTGGGACAAGCTGATATACTCCTAAGCAGCTTGGGCTGCTGTAGATGCGAGGTCGCGAGGAGAGATGGCGGATCAATCAATCACATCTATTTATAGGGTCCCTTTCTGCGGTACCTTTTGCAAATTTACTCCCCATGAATTGAGGAACCCAAACACAAAGGACCCTAGTCTTTAACACACACACAGAAATGTTGATACCTAGACCGTGCTGCATCCGGACTCTCGGGACAGCGCAAGCTCTCTCACCAACATGCTCACGCTGCACCCTACCCCCCCAAGACCTCAAACCCCCAAATCCTCCACGCCTTTAGGGCTTAGGGGTTTAGGGTTTAGGGTTTAGGGCTTCGGGTTTAGGGTTTAGGGTTAGGGTTTAGGGTTTAGGGTTTAGGGTTTAGGGTTTAGGGTTTAGGGTTTAGGGTTTAGGGTTTAGGGTTTAGGGTTTAGGGTTTAGGGTTTAGGGTTTAGGGTTTAGGGTTTAGGGCTTAAGGTTTAGGGTTTAGGGTTTAGGGTTTAAGAGACTGAGAGTCGCGCGTGCCGCACTGGTTGCCTCAGACGCTGAGCTTATGGCATCGTCTCTCAGCGGGAGTATTGTCCTAAAGCCTTAAACCCCTTGAATCCTTAAACCCCTAAACCTCAAACCCCAAAAACCCTTCAAAAGCTCCAAAACCTCTAACCCCAAACCTCATGACGTAGCCTGATTTTAAAAAACAAAATCCAGCCTTCACAACATGGGACGTCTGGGACCCAGGCCGCGTCCATCCTCGCAGTTCGTGGTCTGTGACTTGATCTGCGTCTCTGCGTCCACTGAGTCGGTGAAGGCCGGGTCCGCGCCTTGTGGGCATCTTCTTACTGCTGGTTCGTAGGGAGTGAGGGAATGAGGTACCCTAGCTACCCCTCCTTCCCTCATTCCCTACCTAAGCAACAGGCAAGTCTTGGGCTTTGGTTGAGGGTCAAGGGGTTGAGGGCCGAGGGCCTTCAGAGGTGGCTGCACCGAAAATCTCATCCAAAAGCGCTTATTAGGGTTTAGGGTTTAGGGTTTAGGTCTGGGCGACGGTCTAGGGTTTAGGGTTTAGAGTTTGGGGTTACAGAATCGGCACACTTCACTGCCACTACGGCGCCCTTTCCACACGGCTCACTCGCCTTGGAGCCCCTGAAGTGGGCCGAAAGTCCTTCTGATTGCTGCTTGCTTGGCTTTTTTCACCAACTGAAGTCCAAAGCAGAACTGATGGGCGGGAGTAACCCTCTACTCAAACCTTCAAACCAAACTTTCTGCAAACTCCGAAATTGTCATCACCCGAGACCATCATCGACGTCTTAAACCCTAAACCCTAGATGTAGGGTTTGGGATTTGAACCCCGAACCCGAACCATGAACCTCGAAACCTGACCCCTGCAACCCAAACCCTGAACCCGAAACCCTGAGGCTCTCACTCCAGGCGGCACACCATACCATGGCACCTGCAGCTCGAAAGGAGGGCTGTCTGTGTCTCCATTGATGATGTTCGCAAAAGGGGCTGAGAGGTTTAACACCAGGTCTTGCGGTTGTGGGGGTTAAACCCTAAGCCCTAAACCCTAAACCCTAAACCCTGTTAGGGCCTATGTAGAGGCTTCTGGGCTTCAGCGGCCTTCATCCACCTGCAAGGTGATGAGGATCCGGTCGTTCGCAATGGACTCCGCAGCCACGTACCTGGCAGAAAGCTTGGCTTAGCTTAGCGAAGCTGTCTGGTTTTTGTATCCACTGCAAGCAGAACCGAAGGACATCAGCCTTGCTCGGGCAAAAACAGTATTCTCAACTATGTGTCTCTACATTAACCATAGCATAAACTACCCGAACTAGCCGTTCCAATCAGATCGGTCTCTCTTGGAGCCTCATATTCGGCATTGTGTAGTCCTTGGTGCGGATGGTGTCCTTCGTCGCCACAACCTGCAACTGGGGCCGGGGGCCCGGCGGCAGCATTGCGAAACTTTGCAGGTGCGCAGGCTCTGGGTTTCAGATGTTTTTGGGGGATGGGACTTCGTAGAGTTCAGGGCTGCTACTGAGGGCTCTTTTTTCTGGACGCTTTTGAAGTTTGGGGAAGTAGGGTTTACAGTTTACAAGTTTCCAGGGCGCTGGAGGGCTTGAGTTTTTGGGTCTGGGCTCCCTGCCGCGCTGAAGGTGACGCCATTTGTGACCTGAGTCATCACGTCGAAGGGACTATCTGGTACATACATTCCCCAAGTTCCCTCATTCCCTGCTAAGAACCACAAACCCGAAACTCTCTCATTCCCCACCCTCGGCGTGGGGTGGATATCTAAACTAACTCTTTTCCTCTCCCGGTCTACTCCTCGCCCATCTCCCGCATCCCCAACCGAGGAGTGTGACCAGAGAACCCGTGGAGTGCCCAATTCCAGAGCTAAACCCTAAACCCTGCAACCCTAAACCCTAAAGCCTAAACCTTAAACCCTAAACCCTAAACCCATTTTCTCAGGCAGCGGCCCGACATCCCAGGCACAGATCGTCGGAGGCGTAGCAGTAGACCTTGCTATCGACACAGCTCTGAACGCTGAACCGCGAGGCTTAGTTTGCTTTTCAGGGTCTGTATATGCATATGTACATATATACATGCATATATGTATATATATATATATATATTATATTAGATTATATTATATATATATATATACATGAGTACACATGCATACATACATACATACATACATACGTACATACATACATACATAAATACATACATACATGCATGCATGCATGCATGCATACATACATACATAGTTTATATCGGGGTTATAGCTTATATATATGTATGTATGGTTCATGTTTAGAGATTTCGCGTTGAGCCTTGCGTAGGATTGGGATTCGTGTTTAGCCGTTATTCCGGGAAACACAGATGAACCTTTGCAACTCTTCTGTGCCCCCTGTCATCTGGGGTTTGTTTGATTGTAGGACCCGCTTTTCTGTTTGGGGAATGGGGGATAATTGGGGCCTTTAATCAGGACCCTTCTTGGCACAGCCCTATGATGCCTTTCTTTCCGCGTCGCGGCATTGTGGAGTTTCTCTGGGCTCTCACTGTCGCAGCGCGTGCACGAGTTCGACGTACCCATCCTCTTCAGGTCGGAGGAAACCGCGGCGCACCTGGCCGAGGGGTTTGGGTTCACGATTCAGGCCGTGAGGACTTAGGGCTTGCGAAGCCCAAACTTCAGATTTCATACTTTTGCAGATGGCATGGCAATAGCGCGCTCTCAGACTCCAAGCGCAGCATCAAGCCAGAAAGACTGAGGCTCCTGCAAGCATGTCAATGATCACCACCGCGACCTCTGCCAAGAGACGGCAACAGAAACCCGAAGCCCTCAATCCTGGCGCCTATGAACCCAAGAATCTGAAACTAAACCTGTACCCCTAAACCCTAAACCCTAAACCCTAAACCCTCAACCCTCAACCCTAAACCCTAAACCCTAAACCCTAAACCCTTGACAGCTTAGAGCTGACTGTCCACGGCGGAGCTTCTTGCAACCCAGCGGCATTGGGCTTCCAGTCTGGTTCCGACCCCGACACCAGGGAGTCGATGACTGCATCCATGCCTTAGGGTTTAGGGTTTAGGGTTTAGGGTTTAGGGTTTAGGGTTCAGGGTTCAGGGTTTAGGGTTTAGAGTTTAGGGTTTAGGGTTTAGGGTTTAGGGTTTAGGGTTTAGGGTTTAGGGTTTAGGGTTTAGGGTTTAGGGTTTAGGGTTTATGGTGCAGGGTTTATGGTGCAGGGTTGAGGGTTGAGGGTTGAGGGTTGATATAGGGTTGAGGGTGTCAAGTTGGGGCTGAAGGGTTTGGGGTACAGCTACAGAGGATGCAGTAGGAGGCTTGCTGGCGCCTAAAGCTCCCCTGGCTGCATGGACCCACTGCTTCAGTGCTTTCAGGGTGTGTAGGACTTAAGAGTCTTAAGAGGTTTATGTCGAAGAAGCCTGGGTGTAAAGACCATGACAGCGCCAGAAGCTGCACTGTGTAGCGCGTATGATGCTTGAGCTGAGTGGTTCTCACGCGGCCCTGCGATCTCTACAGCAGTCGTGACCATGTACAGTAAACTCCAAGAAGTTGGAACATCCTTATCCCCATACCCCTAAAGGTATACTAAAGGGAATCCCAGCTCAAATCATCCTTAAACCATGTTCCAACTTTTCGGAGTTTACTGTAATCTCTAAACCCAGAACCTTCAACCCTACGCTCGGGAGCAGAACCTGCAAAGTGCTACCTCAGGCAACCTGCCCAAGCAACACAGATGAGACGAAGCAGGCCGCCTTTAATGAGCGCGTGAAATACGCTATGTTTTACGTTTATTTCGGGCGCTCTTTCCAAACCTATTTGGTGCCGGCATTAAAATAGTTTCAAGTCGTAAGCTCATAATCGTAATACTCATTAGGGCACACGGTATGCCTATTCAACAAGTGCGTGATGTTACGAATATAGCAGCGTTTTTGGGGCGCGCGGAACATAGAAAGCTGAATGAGCCGCTGAGTTAAAACGAACCCATGTGCCCTTCCAACTACTTCCAGGAGTTCGGGTGCCCGAGAAGGACCATCATATCGAGACTCGGCCCCACCTCCCCCAACACAACCCTAAACCCTAAACCCTGAACCCTTTAAAAAGTGCCCAAGACGGGCTAAGGCGCCCATAAGCTCGAAGGCTTCCACCTCCCCATCGCCGGCCGTCGGCTGGAAATCCGACGGGAGGATCCTGGAATAATCGTGGTCTGGTTTCGGATTTCGGGTTCAGGGGTTTAGGGCTTTCGGGTTCAGGACTAGAGCTTCAGGTTGTTCACGCATAGGGCATTTTAGGGTTTAGGGCTTTAGACGTTAGAGGCGTTTGGATCTAGAGCTCGGGGATTGTGAGCGCAAAGTGGGAGGGAAGGGAGGGTGGGAGGGGAGGGTGGGAGGGGAGGGGAGGGAGTGGGGGAGAAGGGGGGAGAGGGGGAGAAGGAGGAGAGGAGGGAGAAGGGGGGAGAGGAGAGCCCATCCGGCTCACTGCACTCGCAACGCAAATCTTCAAATCTCAAGCACCCAGTGATCCCCTGGAAGATGCGGATTCAGAGGCAGATATGAATTTGCTTCATGTTCAGTCCAAGGTGCAGATCGTAGCAGAAGATCACATCGCGCTTCACGCCCCATCCTCCCAGAAATTTCGGAGTTGGGATCGGACAGCGAGGGCTAAAGGGCAGACTTCAGCCCTTGCAACAGTTGCAATGCGGGTCCTGTCTCATCAGTTTGGCAGTACGAAACGACGCCAGTCCTCAGACGTGGGAAGCGTAGGTTGACAAGCCACCCAGGCTTGGGGTTTGGGCCTGATGGGTTTGAGCGAGTAAGTTAAGTATTCTAGCAGGCTGCCTAAACCTCCACTTTCGCACAGTTGACACCCTCAGCCAAAGCGGCGGCTGCGCGGTCTGCGCGAGCTCCTTCGGCACTCGTGCCTCTTCAAAGCACTCCCGGATCCTTGGGCAAGGTCACTGCACATAGCTGCACGTGCCGACCAGAACCCTTCTGGTCTGAGTGCCTGGCACATTGTCACCAGGAAGCTCGCCATGCGATAGGCCTCCTGACTGGAAATCCCCGAATTTATAGACACGGGCCTCTGGCGTCCATCGTCGCAGACAGTCCTGCTACAATATGGTCCAGACGGCCCGGATATGTCGGCTTTGTCCGTGACCGCGTGGCAACCTTGAAGCTTGCTAGGCTTGCAATCTCGCACACCGATAGCTGCAGGATGGCCAATGAGCACATCTTCGCTTCAAGGTGTCGCCGCTAGGTGAGCCCAGAGACCCACAGCAAGGGGCCCTTCGGTGACTCCACGATGCCATTGACATGGCACCTGACAAGCAAAACTCACAGAGCTCCCACTGACACACCCCCAAGCACAGCAACCTGAGAGCCACTCCCGTAGCCCCGCACACCCAGGAGGGGTCCAGCAGCCCGCTCCTCACCACTTTAGGGATTGTTTCAGCCCGCCGTGCCCCCACAAAATGGGGACAATGACTTGGAGAATTGGCCCATATCAAGGGGAGACACGTAGCGGCACTTTTGTGTCTCGGGCTCTAGGGGCTAGATAGGGGGCTGATCTATATATCGTTGGCCCATGTTGGCACCGTAAACTACCCCAAGCCCGAAACCCTAAACCCTGCAAGGAACATACTTGCATGATCTTTCATGGAGACCCATGGAGGCCCCAACGGATGGCGGACTTGGGGTTGGGGTTGGGGCGGTCCACAACCAACGCTGGCGCCGAATGGAAGGATGCCTTCACTGGCCACTCCTTGGCAAGGACTTGAGCTTTAGGGTTTAGGGTTCAGGGTTTAGGGTTTAGGGTTTCGGGTTTAGGGTTTCGGGTTTAGGGTTTAGGGTTTTGATTCTACGTTTTAGGGTTTACAGCTTAGGGTTAGGTTCGTGATGCCCCAGCAGGCTGTTAAGGAAGCGCCACGCACCGTCTGTTGAACATATCTGAGACAAGCGTCTTCATTCCGCCAGCCTTTCAGCATCGGAACCGTGTCCTCGCGGAAGAGGGCAACTAACGAAGACTCAATGCTGAAACCCAATCTGGCATGATCAAAGTTCAACAGCAAGTCTTACAACATCGAAGGACATGCGGAGAAGGTGTGGCGGAGATCCTCCTCACGGAGTCGCTGTAAAACTCCCGCAACGGCCTCGCCCAATGCTGGGTACAGATACAGAGCTGGCACTTCCTGCGACCGCCGCCTTGGAGCGAGACGGGACGGAGTCGCCTGCCAGGCTGGATCTGGGGCCGTTGCTGAAGCAAAGGGTCTCCATTGGGGTACACGAGTAGGCCTGCCACGACGTCCACCGCCTCATCCGTGACGCGGAACACCTCACTGCCCAAGGCATTGCATGACCCCTGCTACGTTTATTGCACTTGCTTTGATGTTTTACGATGATTGCTACTTTTTGACTAAACTAAATTCATGTTGTCGGCCTCAGGGAAACGAGCGAGCTCGGCGGCCGCCGCCGGCAATGTGGCGCCCAGGGGCTCCCCGGCCACGCGCAGCGGCCTGGTCCAAGAAGGACTTGCGGCCGGGATCGGCCGGGTTGACAGGCAGAAACTGGATCTAAGGGTTCATCACTTCATCGCCGACGCGCATGGAACAAAAAGGTTCTCCGCGGTTTACCTCGAAAACACCTCGGAAACCAAAACCAGGGGCCCCGAAAAAAGCCCTCCCGGCCTGGTCTTCTTCATGGCAGCAGCACCATCCCCACAGTCGGCCACGCGCCGAAGTAGAGCTGAAAGGTTTAGGGTTTAGGGTTTAGGGTTTAGGGTTTAGGGTTCAAGGATTTAGGGTTCAGGGCCGGGAGGGGCTGCCGGGTTTAGGGGGTTTTTAGGGTTTAGGGCAATGCGAGGGCGCCAGAGTTTCCCGCTCTGTCACTCTGTCCTTTTCTTAAATGGGCTGTGGTTCACTGAGCTCCTACAACCAGTACAACCTGCATCCCACACAATGGTTCAGGGTTCAGAGTTTGGGTTTACCCAGATCCACACGCGCGAGCAAAGCCCCAATGAATGCACCCAGGATTCGCACACAGCGGCCACGAATTTGTGCAGGGGAAGGTTAGCATGCAGGACGAAGGATTCGCGCACAGTGATTCGCGCACAGTGATTTGCGCACTGACGCGGGGGATTCACGCACAGTCTGTTTCGTGCTCTGGAGGCCGGATATGCGCCCACAGGATTCGTGCACTGGCACGGCTTATTCGCACAGTCACCCGGCGAATTCGCTCACCACCGCGTCGGGCTCTTGAGCAGTCTTTCTTTCGGCGTGTCCTTGTTCATTTCTTTCCTCCGTTCGGTCTGGCTCTGGTTCGTCCCGTCCTTATTTCTTTACTTTTTTGATCATGTGTGTATGTTGCCGTTGCCTTCTTTATGCCTTTATGTCTTCATGTATGTCTTTCATTCTCTTTAGGAACTTATGTATCTAGCGTAATCGTTTCTTTCTGTCTGCGAATCTTTCGTTCGTCCTGTATTTCAATCCCTTGGTAAATCCCCCCCGAAGAATGGGTCCAAGGTGTAGAAGCATCTTTAAAACCAAAAACCATTCCTTCATGCTACCATTCATACTCATAATCATGATTAAAAAAAACAAAAACATACATATTATACCCATAGCGAAGAAAGAACCCCAACCATAGAACTAGCAACAACACTGGTGGTGTAGTTCTTCGTGTTCTTGACCCAGCTCAGCTGGGCCCGGCCTGCGATGCGATGGCTCATGGCGCAGCACAGAACAGCCGAGGCGCCTGGGACGAAGAGCTTCGATGCACTCAGCAATGAGGGCTTAGGGGGCTTAGGGGATGTTTTTGGGAGATTTAGGGTGTTTAGGGGGTTTGGGGTGTTTAGGGGTGTTTAGGGGGGTTTAGGGGTGTTTAGGGGGGTTTGGGTTTCAGGCGGTTTGGGGTGTTTCGGGGTGAAGCTTGAAAGGGCTTGATGCTGCATGCCTCGAGCGCTCGAGGCATGAGAGCGGCCGCAGAAGCGGGTCGGTCCTTGCGCAGCTGCGGACGACTTCAGGCGACTAGTGGTCTCCTCCAGAACGCAAGTACGCGAAAAAAAAAGTAGGCATAAGCAGTAGTGACCGTAGTCGTCATAATCGCAGCAATAGCAACAGTAGCGGTAGCAATCGTAGCAGTACTAGCAGTAGCAGTATGTAGCAGCAGCAGAGAACTGAGAAAAACAATGGCAATAGCAGGAGCAAGAGTCATGTCCAAGCAACAAGAGTCACCGCAAAAACGTTCAATATGAGTAAGGTCATGGTGGTGAACGTAATCATCATAACCATGATGCAATGAGAAATTCGAAAAATACCACAAAATAGTAACATTCATTCTGCAATCAAACAATGCCCCGCCCGGGATCCTTGTAGCGGCTTGTAGGGCAGTGTCACTGGGGAGCGCCAGCCCACCGCCAAGCCCGCCATGCACGACAGCGGATCTGGAAGATTGAAGAGACTCCCTCTTTGGATATCTGCTCATATGGTGGCTTCCGAAATTCGGGGCTACCTTCTTGGGGTCCTGATTATACGGGGATCCTACTATTTGAGGGGTCTAAAAACTTGAGGGGTCCCCGATTTTCGTGAACCCCATACTATAGCAACGAGAAGACAGACATCTAAACCCTAAACCCTAAACCCTAAACCCTAAACCCTAAACCCTAAACCCTAAACCTCTGCTTCGGGAGGATGGCTCTGGATAACTGCCACCTCAGCACGCTGTCATTTTCAGGGCTCAAGCGGAAACAGGCTCGCGGATCAAGGAGATGGATCACAATTGAAACGGCTAGCGGATGGGTTTAGGGTTTAGGGTTTGAGGTTTAGGGTTTAGGGTTTAGGGCTTAGGGTTTAGGGTTTAGGGTTTAGGGTTTAGGGTTTAGGGTTTAGGGTGTAGGGGCCACAGATGGCAAGAGATGGCAGGAGCAGCGTCACTTCTATGCAGGCATGCAGGGCACGGGGCGCGGGGCGCAGGCGCTAACCTTTGGGATGCTAAGATGTGTCGCTGAGCTTCTCACATCATAGTCAGTGCCAAGAACAAGAGGTCGCTCCTGCGAATCACACGCTGAGCGTGGCCCAAACACGCAGTACTGCGCAGCCGGCAAACTTATCCGGTCCAAAGAGGGGAAATTAAATCCTGAAAATGAAAATGCTGAATCTCAGGGGCAGACGTACGTCGGATCGTAGTTGACAGGCTTGTCGTAACCAGTGATTTGCACGGTGGACGAGCCGGGCTTAGCAAACCAGGTCAACATTCTGTAAGCACCGGCAGAAGCAATCGTGCTGTGCGGAATCCTTCCTTTCAGCCGCAAACTGCGATGTACGTCTCACTCCGCTCCAAAGCAGTACAGTTGGCATGCACAGTGCTCTAAACCGAGAACATCCCTAAGCCGCAGACTCAAAACTCTGCGAATGGCGCATCACTGCCTGAGGCCGGCACTGAGGTAAAGTCGCCTCGGATGCAAGAAGCGGCTCCGCTGGACATCTTGTGTTGATGAGCTGGGCATTAAGATACGAAAAAATCATATCCACATCATCCCAGAAAAGACTAGCCATAGGAGCCCTGATAACCATGATGATGACAAGAATAACCACATCATGGTCATAGCAAGACAGGTAAGAACACCATTCGGGCATGTGGCTGTAGTAGTTTGTGTCCAAGATCTCGAGGATGGTGGGAGGATTGAAGTCCTTTCGAACAGCCTGGCACCATACCTGACAGCCAGGGGGGGTTTAGGGTTTAGGGCTAGGGTTTCGGGAGTACAATGCAGAAGCACCCTTCAATGCCCTAAGGCTTTCAGGATTCATGGGGCTTGGGGTTCAGGATTTATAGGCTTTGGGGTGTAGGTTCAGGGTTCATAAGGTTTGGGGTTCGTAAAGGGTTTGGGGTTCAGGTGGGTTGCTCGGTGATATGTTTGCAGTGACATGCCCACTTCTGCCAAACATCTTCCAGCGGAGGGCGTGGAATCTTTCCCAAAAACTAACCCTTAACCCTAGGGCCCTAGGCACCTAAACACCAAGCCTGCCAACCTCTGTGGCAGTCTCCGAAAAAACTTAAGCTGAGGTCGGGGCAGTGCCCGTCTCGCTGAGACTGGCAGACAAGGGGCGCTGGGTTGCTCAAAATCAGCATTGCAATAACAGCGGAAATTGCAACATCAAAAAACGTGATACCAAGAATAGCAACAAGAACAATAAGAGTAGAAAGAGCAACAAGAAGCACAATAATAACAAGGATCGCAAGCATAGCAAGATAGCAAGAAACGCAAGAGGAAAGAGTTGCTGTAAGCACAAGGATTGATGAGGCTTGCTGGGCCCTAGACACGTTCCATGCAATTGTTTATAGCCAACATTGCCACATAACTTATCCAGTTTGCTGCGGGTGGGCTTCAAAAACCGTGCACATGCTGACATGTCCATAATCTCTACACAAAAGCTCACCCCCTGCCCATGCCCACCTGACAGTGACATTGATGTTCGTCTCGTCGCTGGTGAGGCTGATCTTGGATGCTTCTGAGCTTCGGCTTATCACGGAAGAGGGATTCATGGAGATTCTGACAACTTCGCCTGGGCCAACAGTGGCCAACAGTGCATTTGAGCAGTCCCAGCTTGTTGGGTTGAACGTCGATAGCCGCACCTATGCTGCGACCGTTCAGAATCGGGCTCTTAAACTGGACCCTAAACTCTACAACCTGCGCGAAACACTGAACCTAAACTCAACCCGCCGAGCCTAAACCTCTAAACCCAAGCTGAATCCGAAGCCCCCAACCCTACAATGCATAGCCCTACACCCTGAAACCTTAAACCTAAACTACCCGCAAACCCCAAAACCTAACCTCAACCCCTACAGACCAGACCAAACCCCAAATCCTCTCACCATTGGTTCTGAGTAGAGAATGAGGGGCTAAGGTACCTTCCAGAACCCCCCCTTAAACCGGGTAAGAGATAAGGGGGGATCTAGGGTACCTCATTCCCTCATAGCCTACTACGGCGCTTCCAAGGTTCCCTGAGCCACAGGCTGGGTTGATGGTGGGCGGCGTGAGGTCGAGGGTCAGAATCTGGGGTTTAAGGGTTTAGGGTTGAGGAGTTCAGAGTTGAAATTTGAGCGTTTAGGGTTTAGGGTTTAGGGTGTCGGGTTTAGGGTTGCAAGGCGGGCGGCGGAAGCCCCTCGCAAGGCATAGGGGCTTGGGCTTTAGGCATTCTTGCATTCGTTCTATTGCTACATTGTCTTCTCTTGAATTTTGTTTTTGATTGAGACCCAGAATCTCCGAAGGTGGAACCTTAATGGAGGGCGGGGGCGCCAACTTGTGTTGAGGCTCCTTTAAGGAACATGCTATAGCAGAACCATAGACGATGCCGGTCACAGGGGGTGGTAAATCGACCGACGCTCTCGACGCTCTTGACCCTCTTGACCTTCTTGACGCTCTTGACCTTCTGGATGCTCTGACCCTTTCGATTCTCTTGACCTTCTTGACGCTCTTGGCCTTCCTGAGGCTCTTGGACTTCAAAACAGTCAAGACGGTCAAAGGGTCCGGCGCGCACTCGAACCGTAGGCCCATAACTATCAGATCGACCGCCAAATTATCCGGAGCCGAACTCAACTGACAGGCTTGGGGGGGGGGGGGGAGACTGGGCTTCGGGGCTTAAGGCCTTAGGCTTGAGGCCTTAGGCTCATATTGTGATGTCTTGCGTGGCCTAGTCTAGGGCGCGGCAATGATTGCGCCTGTTTCGCCTACTCCTCTAAATGCTGCCCCCCCACTCACATCCACAACACACCGATTTCTTAAATCTAGGCACACAGACCTCACCAAGGCCAACAGCATTAGTAGCACTTGCGCAGCAGTCCTACTGGCACGAGCAACGACGGACATCGTCAGAGCAACAATTAGCAGGAAGAGTGGAAACTCTGGACTTGTGGGACCTGTAATGACGTAACTGGAAGTGAATCAGATGGCCCTCAAAGGCCTGCCCCACAGCAGTCATGAAGTCGTCCACGGCCTGGAATGACACCTCGTTTCCGTTTCCTTAGAGGCATACGGCTGTCACTCAGAGAAGCCAGCCCTTGGCCATTACTGGCCTTTGAGTTCACGCTCAAAGACAGCACGGGTGCGGAAACTCAGACCAGATCCCACCGTCATGTTGGGTGTCGCAGCATTCGCCAGCAACCAGTTTGGAGATTTGTCAACTGCGCACAGGGGCTAAGCAACCAAAGTGGCACCGAGTCTCAAGGCAAAAGCTGCAAACCCAATTGAGCTTAACGGGGGGGAGCATGTGATCAGTTCTCTTTATTGGGATACTTGTCGGGGTGCTCCAGCGCCACATTAAGACGGGGAATACGATAGGGAATGGAATGGAAGAAATGTCGTCAGGCCCAAACCCTAAACCCAGCTGGCCCATGTAAGCCAAGCAGTGGCCTGAGTTTTGGGTTTCCAACTTCCAGTCCTCGGCCGCAGCATGGTGCACTGAGGCTTTAGAGATTTTGAACTTTAGGGTGTTAGGGTTTAGGGTTTAGGGTTTAGGGTTTAGGGTTTAGGGTTTAGGGTTTAGGGTTTAGGGTTTAGGGTTTAGGGTTTAGGGTTTAGTTTTGAGGGTTTAGGGTTTAGGGTTTAGGGTTTAGGGTTTAGGGTTTAGGGTTTAGGGTTTAGGGTTTAGGGTTTAGGGTGTAGGGGTTCTCCCATAGATGCTAACAGAAAGCCGGCATGGGCTTGCTCCCAGCGGTAGGGTCCCTGCATCTTCCGCAAAGCAGAAGACGTTGTACGGCCTCAAGCCACAGACTTCCAGAGGGCCGACACAAGGCCAAGGCTTAGGATTTAGGGTTTAGGGTGTTAGGGTTTAGGGTTTAGGGTTGTTTAGGGTTTGGGGTTCAGGGTTTAGGGTTTGGGGTTTGGGGTTTGGGGTTTGGGGTTTGGGGTTTGGGGTTTGGGGTTTAGGGTTTAGGGTTTAGGGTTTGGGGTTCAAGGTTTAGGGTTTAGGGCCTGTGGAGTGCTAGTCCTTGCTCAATCCAACATTTCCAAACGCTTAGGCTTCACGCGACTCACTCAGGAGCAGGGAGGAAGAAGTTCCAGCCTCAGCACGAAATTAGGGTTTAGGGTTTAGGGTTTAGGGTTTAGGGTTTAGGGTTCAGGGTTCTGCCACCGTGCTACTATCCAGGCCTTGACAAAGCCATGCGTCTTTCACGCTGTCTAGCCTGAAACTATATTTGTCATTCGTCAGTGCTGCAGCGTTCTACACCTTGATGTATACGTGTACATACATACATCAAATGGACAAACATAAATACATACAAAAATAACTACATACATATATATATATATGTATATATGCTACCCCCCCCCCCCCCTCAAAGATCCACCATATATTGCTTTTTTTGGATGTATACATGAGTATCTATCTCGCTTGCGGAGACGAACTTCAGCTGCCATTCTTGGATGCCGGCGTCGTCATCCACATAGTCCACCTGTTGCGCATCTGACAACAGCTCACTTCCGAGACCACAAGCACGCACAACATCCTACCCAAAAGCATCTTCCGAACAAGCCTCTACATCCACGTTGCGGTAGGGCAGGTGCACGTATTGCATGAAAGGCGTGTTCCTGCCGCTGGTGCAACTCCAGGCTACCGGTGCTCTACATGATGCGCTTCACACGGCTTGGAAAACACCTTCTACCGCCACTGACGTGGTGAGCTGAGTTCCCAGCGCACCCCTGATCTTCGTGATGTAGTTTCCGGCCTCAAGCACGTCTGTCGGAGTTTGAATATGAAAGGCTCTGTTCCTCGTCCTATTCTTCCTCATTCCGGTCCTTGAACCGACACTCGACCCAGATCTACGGGCGCCGTGTGTCTGGGTCTAGCTTGTAAGCTTGATCGCCCAAGATGCCGATGAACGCTGGGACCCCGACGTCGACGTCCAAAACGTCCAGGTTGGCGTCCGTCGTGGGCAGAGCAGGTTGGCACCACACAGTGCCGGGCCTCAGAATAGGACTGGATCGGGTTACTAGACTTTTCGTGCTTCAAGGGGCTGAAAGGTGCTTGCAGGTAGTGTTCGGCTTCCTGTGAGGGTGTCTATGTGATCGGTTCTCTAAGTCATGGACTCCCTTGTTGTGTCCCTTTGTCACGGTTTCTGTGTAGCCAGGCCGTGATTTGGGGAACGGTAAGGGCCGCGTAAGAGCCCGGCTCGTCTAGCTGCAATGTGATCTGCAGCTTGCTGTCAGTGATGGCCTGCTGACAAAAGGGCATGTGCTGAATGCCCGATGAGATGACGACTGTTGAGGCCATGAATTCCCTCAACCCTAAACCCTAACCCTAAATCCTAAACCCTAAACCCTAAACCCTAAACCGATGCTTCCAGCTGCCCTGGTAATCCTCACCTCGGAGGTGACGTAGATGAGCGTGGGCGGCGTTGTGTCCTTGAGCCACACGTAGCCTCAGCAAGGCTCCAAGAACTCGCAACAGTGAGACGGAACCCTAAACCCCTACAACCCCCGGTACCCAAACCCCTAATCCACTAAACTAACCCTCTTGAGGAACCGAACTTCCGCCTGCAACGGCCCCACCCCCGAACGGCTTCCGAGCGCCCAGCGCGTGCGCCCGCCGGCCGGTGCCGTCATGTAGTTGACCCCCACGTCGGTGTCCACGTAGCTCTGGCAGCGCTGGGCAAGGCTAGGCGAGGTCGGGGTAGGGGGGAGGGCTGTGCTCTGACAAAAATCGATTCCTTCTCTTCGACTAGCGCCCGAGGACCTTCCTTATACGAGTAGGCCGGAGCGAGGCTGCCTGCGTCATGTAGTTCGGGCGTGGATGCCCGTACGTGTCGACAGCGCTGTCCTCCAGACTACAACTCGGGAGAAACTGCGGTGGGCACCTCGCCTCTTCCCCTGATCCCTGCAACTGCCTGCAAAAAAAGTAGCACTGCAGTCAGCTGCAAGCCGCTCAAGCATCTCAACTGGTAACACAACTCTTGGAGCCTCAGCTTGACGTTCTGAACTTTCAGCAGCACGTTCGGTCCTTGGCCCAGCAGTACACGTCGTACTGGTTGCCTTCGTAGAGGCCTTGCCTCAGTCGTCGAAGGCTCAACGGTGCAATGGGAAGTGGAGACTGCTTAGGCTCAAAAAAGCCTAGCCTACTTGAACCCCCCAAGATGGGGCTCAGCGCCTACCAGCTTTGCAGGGATTTTGGCTTTCTCAGCCTCTACAACAGGCCGAATAGTTTCTCGTGCTTCCCGATGCAGGCTGAGGCGCGTGTCGCTCGCCTCGATCTTGTTAATAGTGATGTCGTTGTCAATGTTGGGGCCTTCGGTGTTGCTCATGGCCCCACCCTAAGGGTCCATGTACCTAAATAGGGAATGCTTGGGCCTTAAAGTACTTCCTATTTAGGGACTTTGGGGCCCAAGTATACAATAATAAGGTACATGGACCCTTAGGGCCATGGCTGCGACTTCTGGAAAGATGTCCCCATAGTCCTATGCGCCTTCGTGATTCCCTCTTGCAGATTGCCACGGGCGTGTCCCTGTCAGTCCCGGGTGTGCCTGCGACAACAGCTGCAAAGTTGGCCGACAGAATCTGGTTGATGCGCAGCGTCGTCTCTCCTGCAGGGATTCGCGGACAGCCCATGCAGGAAGTGGTCCCAGGGTTTAGGCCCATCTGGGCTTTGTAAAGTGTATATGATAAGACTTAGGCTCTCGGACTTCCGGAACAAGCATCACTCCTGAATCGGAGAGCGTGACACGGCAGTAGGCCGTGCCCGCCTCGTTGAGCGCAAAGGTGACCTCAAGGTTCTCCATGAAAGCTCTTCTAACATCCTGCTGCTGTATGAAGGCCTCCCTATCTCCCAAGTACGCCTCCCCCGAAACCCTAAAACTTCCAGAACCAGGGTGCCACGATCTCGTCGTTCGTGGCTGTTGGGTCGGTGATGGCCAGCTTTGTGAAGCTCGGCGGTGTCTCCTTGACACTGGCCACACAAGTCAGGTCCAAGTCTCGCAGGAGCTTGAATACCCAGCAACACTTTTTGAAGGGTATCGCCTGTATACCGCACAAGTGAGATTTACAGCAATTCAAATTTCAAACTGCCCGCAATGTCCTTTCTACATGGAACAAGCCCCCTGAACATCATAGGCGTGCGCCTGCATCCTTCTGTTCTTTGTAACATCTCTTGGCCGCACTCAGGAGGGTAGCATAAATTAAACTTTTACTGCCTTAATAAGAAACCCAATAAACCCAAAAAAGGTAAGGATCTAAAGTTACAGTAAAGCACCACAAAGATCTGAGGTCGGGGGGCATCCAGGGTCTGGATGGTGCCAATCTCCGTCCACATGGTGTAGACATTCCTGCAAGGAAGGCTTGCCGGGGGCCGGAGAAGTCAGACTCAGGGTCGGAATTTGGAGTTGCAGGTTGAAGGTTTAGGGCTTCCGGTCTCGGGGGTTTAGGACTTAACTTAGGACCTGGGACCCTTAACCCGTAAACCGTAAACCCTAAACCCGAACCCCAAACCCTAAACCCCAAACCCCAAACCCCAAACCCCAAACCCTCAGCGAAGCCTTGGGCCGGCGTTCAAGGCATTGTCGAAGATCATCTTGTTGGGCGTCAGCTCGTCGTCCTGGTTGCTTTCTCAAGGAGCCCCGAACCCTAAACCCTAAACCCCAAACCCTAATCCGTAAACCCTAAACTTTACCTAAACCCTAACCCTGGTCAGATTTGACCTTGAACCCATGCAGCGGTTCTGATTCTGATGCAAAGATTTGAGGACCAGAAGTAGCTTGTCTCCCAATGCCCAGGCGTCTTCGGCGTAGCAGTAGATGTAGGGGTAGTCCGTCTCTTCGTTGAGGCCGCTGACGATGATGTCCACATCCCGGTTGTATTTCCATGTTGTGGCCTTCAGTTCCCAAAACAAGACGCTACCTTAATCAGGAACTGCAGCCAGAAAAGCGGCGTCTCGTGGCTTTGAGGGTTCGGGCTCGGGAAAAAGTCGGCGGAAGAGCTCGAAATGCTGAACAAACGTCGTTCCCTAAGCTTTACCACAGCTGAGGTTGAGCCCGGCGCACCTCGTACTCAGCACGTGTGGTGACACTGTCGGCCGCGTTGATCACGTCAACAATGTCGTCCTTGGTGGGGTTGAGGGTTTGGGTATCTGGGGCATGTCAGGCAAGGCCGATTGAAGATGCACTGCAGTGTGCAACAACAGGCGTGTGCTCACAGAGACAGGAACAGCATGCACATGCATTGTCTGCACACTACAGTTTTGCGAGCAAGGCATCCATGTCGTAGATCCAGAATGTTCCGCACTGGTTGCCGAAGCTGTCGGTACCTTGGCTGAATTCAGAAGGCAAGTCAACCTGTTTCAGACCCATCACAAAGACATGCGCCCGACACGAAACAGCGTGAGCAGATGAACGCTAAACCCAGCAAACCCTTGCAATCCCAGAAACAATCTGCTGCCTTGCCTTTGATCTTGGTCTCGTAATCCTGGCATAGACATGGTGAAATAGTGGGGAAAGGGGGTCCGTGTTGCCATACAGCCCCCCAACCGGCCTAAATGTGACCATCATGCAAAGAACCTACTACGTAGGCTACACATGCAACTGCTCTTTTGCAGTGGCACGACGATGATGCCAAAGAAACGGTCCAGTGTGCTCGGCATACACCTTTCGACGCCTCACCCTGAACCCAAAACCCTAAACCCCAAACCCCAATTCCTGAACCCTAAACCATCCCTGAACCCTAAACCCCAAAACCCTAACCCTAAACCTAAACCCTGAGTCCTAAAAACCATCCTAGGCAGAAGCTCCTGGCCGGTCGAGACCAGGGCAGGGTCGGTGTCCCAGGCAGCGCACCACACCTTGGCACCCTCATCGACCTGAGAGAGGAGCCCATACATCCAGGGACTAAAAGGAGGGACCCCTTAGAAGGAACCTTAGGGGATACCTACGTATCTAGGGACCATGTAAGGTATATATCGGGTTCATGTAGGGGAATAAGATTGAGGGGTCCCTCCGTACACGCCTTTATTACATGATTGGGGCGTTCTGGGCCAGGGGGTGTTTAGGGTTTACGGGGGGTTTTGGGGTTTAGGGTTGAGGATTGCTTGATCTGAATTCAGTGCCTGCTCGGCCTCTTCAAAAAAAACAACGCATGCCTCATAGTTTGGGGTACCAGGCACCCTCATCTACAAGGACTTTTTGCAGCAATGACCCCAAGCAAGGGCCCAGAACTTTGGAGCAGCACCCCATTTCGGGAGCATGGCATGCAGGTTTCGGAATGTTCCTTCTCAGCGCTTAGGGGGTCAGGAATTAGGGTTTAGGGTTTGGGGTCTAGGGCTAGGGTTTAGGGTTTGGGATTTAGGGTTTAGGGGGGTGTAAGAGCTGCCTGGAGGGTGATGATGATCTGGTCGTGTGCAATGGACTCCGCGGCGATGAACCTGGTCAGTTGAAGGTGATGATTTGTATTTGAAGGCTATAGGGGATAGGGTTTAGGGTTTAGAGTTCAAGGTTTTGGGCTCAGGGCTCAGGGCTCAGGGCTCAGGGCTGGGGTTTTCCTTTCAAAAGGAGCCCCAGATGATAAAGGGGCCAAGAAAGCCTTGAGAAACCTTAAGAAGCCTCAAGAAACCTCAGTATCTACAGGAGGCGGTACCGTCGCATCAGCACAGGAAGATGGTTGGGTAAACCCTAGGCTAAGTATAGATGTCAAGTTCTAATTTTCCTACCGCGGACAAGAAAGACAGAAAACAAAAAAGAAAGAGGCCATCCGCAGAAACTGGTACCTGGAAATCATCGAAAATCCTTAGACCCAAACGACTCCCCAAGAAGTCTACTTCGCCCCCTAAACCCTAAACCCTAAACCCTAAACCCTAAACCCTAAACCCTAAACCCTAAACCCTAAACCCTAAACCCCCCCCTCCAAAGCCTCATCTGCGGAGGCGTGAGGTCCAGGGTTCGCACCTTCAGCTCTCGGGCCGATGTGCCTTAGAGGACGTCGAGGCATCGGGTCTGTTCTCGAAATCAGGGCTCGCTCTCTTTCTTTCTTTGGGGATTGGAGGGAGACCCCCCGCGCAGACTGCGCGCCCCGATCCCGCGTTACGTCGGTTCTCTCTCTCTCTCTCTCTCTCTCTCCCTCCCTCCAACAGGGACCACCCAACAGAGGGAACCCACCGCACTTTTCCACAAGCGGCCTTTCTCTGAAGAAGAAATGCTCCGCTGTCTGTCAGCTTCTCCAGCTGGAGTGGGACAACAGGGGAGCATGCCAGACCACAAACATCGTCAAAGCGTTCAGCTTCCCCACTCGCGCAATCGCAGCTCATAGCATCCCTCAATCCCCAAACAGCTGCTGTTCTCAACCTTTCACCTCAAATTTGGATTTGGGGTTTAGAGGGACTGGGGCTTAGAGATCGTTAGAGGTCTTGAGACTTGGGGTTTAGGATTTAGGGCCTTAGGGCACCTTGAATCTCACCAGCGCCCTCTCTATGTCTAGGCGCTCACGTAGTTGAAGGACACGCCGTTGGTCACCTTGCAGCCATTGCAGAGGTCGTCATCGGCGTAGCAGTAGATGTCGTAGTAAGTGCCGAGCCTAGACGCAGTGTGGCATGGAGCTTTGGGGCCATTTACTCAAAAAAAGTTGGAGGGTGGGAGGGGGGATGGCTTTGAAGCCCGGGACCTTCACCAAAAGAGGGCTTCTCTGAGATCCGGACTGCAGCGGGGTCATGTAGGTGGGATCCCAGTTCCTCGAGAAGGCGCAAGAGTGGACACTGGCAACCCCTTCGGCCCTGGCACCCTGTGCTGGGTTTTGGGTTTAAGCCTTCAGGCTTTAGGCTTTAGGCTTTAGGCTTTAGGCTTTAGGCTTTAGGCTCTAGGCTCTAGGCTCTAGGCTTTAGGCTTTAGGCTTTAGGCTTTAGGCTTTAGGCTTTAGGCTTTAGGCTTTAGGCTTTAGGCTTCAGGCTTCAGGCTTCAGGCTTTAGGCTTTAGGCTTTAGGCTTTAGGCTTCAGGCTTCAGGCTTCAGGCTTCAGGCTTCAGGCTTCAGGCTTCAGGCTTCAGGCTTCAGGCTTTAGGCTTTAGGCTTTAGGCTTTAGGCTTTAGGCTTCAGGCTTCAGGCTTCAGGCTTCAGGCTTCAGGCTTCAGGCTTCAGGCTTCAGGCTTTAGGCTTTAGGCTTTAGGCTTTAGGCTTTAGGCTTTAGGCTTTAGGCTTTAGGCTTTAGGCTTTAGGCTTTAGGCTTTAGGCTTTAGGCTTTAGGCTTTAGGCTTTAGGCTTTAGGCTTTAGGCTTTAGGCGTTAGGCTTTAGGCTTTAGGCTTTAGGCTTTAGGCTTTAGGCTTTAGGCTTTAGGCTTTAGGCTTTAGGCTTTAGGCTTTAGGCTTTAGGCTTTAGGCTTTAGGCTTTAGGCTTTAGGCTTTAGGCTTTATGCTTTAGGCTTTAGGCTTTAGGCTTTAGGCTTTAGGCTTTAGGCTTTAGGCTTTAGGCTTTAGGCTTTAGGCTTTAGGCTTTAGGCTTAGGCTTTAGGGCTTGGGCTTCCCGAGTGCACCTCGGGCGGTCGTAGCCCAAAATCTGGACATCCACGGGCACCGTCGTGGGGCCTAGATCAGGAGCGTCCAAAGATTGAGGCGATAGGACTCAGAAACTGCAGGGACATTCTGTGAGGACTGCATGGTTGAGGCATGAGGCTGACGTGGACATACTCGGAGGTGAAGTTGCTGTCCAGAATCTCTAGAATGGTAGGCACCTTGGCGGCAGAACTCGTCGAAAAACTCATCCAGATGCCAAGATTCAGAGCAAAGAGAAAGTGGCAAAGCAACACGACTCCCAGCTGGGGTTGCGGCATTGAAGCCATGCCGGACTGCCTGCAGGGCTCAATAGCAAAGATGTGACCATGAAACTTCGAGATTTTAAACGAGAAAGCGCCGAAGCCCTCGGCACCTGGCACCAGGCCGTCCCTGTCTCGCTCAGCTCCAGGTTGACCGTGATCGTCGTCTCGGTGGTGGACACCTGAGTTTCAGCTTGGAGGTCGAGGGGTTTGGGGTTGAGGGTTTTAGGCTTGAGGGGGGGAGCGTTCAGGGGCTTAGGGCTTAGGGACGACGGGGGGGGGGAAAGCAGTCTTGACTGATTCCGGCCGGCGGCGCCCGACTCAGAATGAGCCAAGAATTCAGCCGAGCCGCGCTGTTGATCTGGATGGTCGGCGGTGTCAGGTCCAAGGTGATCACTTGTCCAACCTTGCACCAGGAGCTTGGGACTTTACCAAACTTGCAAAGCCCTGATCACACTAAACGCCGGTTTGGCACCTTCTGCTGCAACTACTGCAGGACCCATACTGTCAGACGGTCTTTTCACATGCGTCCGCACGGATGCAGAACCATTCAGACAAGCGGCCGCGGAGGAGAAGTCCAAGACATCCTGATAGACCACCTGCGCATCTGGGACCCCCGTACCCGGCCGTGGGGATCCGGCTGGTTTTGGGCCGAGATAGCCAGGAGTCAGGGTTTAGGGTTTAGGGTTTAGGGTTTAGGGTTTCGGGTTTAGGGTTTAGGGTTTAGGGTTCGAGGTGCCCCCAGCACCCTGAAATCCTAAACCCAAATGGGCAAGATAGCGTTTAATATATGGTTCAGGGCCTTGAGCGGAGGCTAAAAGCAGCAGCTACCTGGCACAGCCAAGGCTTCAAAAGGAGAGCCGCATCAGGACACAGAACTTTACAAAAGAGACCGGAGCATGAATCTCTGCGGCGTGCAGCTGATTCCGACTTCTTAGTGGCTGCACCTTGCACGCACAGAGCCGGCTCAGAGATCTTGAACAACTCTAGAAATCTCGAGCCTCTGTCTCTGTACTGAAATTATGCGCTCTCATGCCTCCTGAACCCCCAAAACCCTGAACTCTCCAAGGCGCCTCGTTGGGCGCGCCCACGTTGCCTGCCTGGAAGTTGATGGACTGCTGCGCCGCGCCCGTGGCCTGGGCATGCTTCGGGTCCCATAAACCCAGACACCTAACACCTACATCGCTAGACCCCTAAATCAGAGGTTTAGGGTTTAGGGATTTAGGGGTTTGGGGGTTGAGACCAGCAGGCCTGCAGCTACCTAATTTTCAGGGTCTCAGCTCCAAACACCTCAAAAACTTCAAAATCCGCAAGCCCTAAACCCTAAACTTCTAAGCCTCTAGAGCCCCCTGAAGTTCCCCTGAAACGCCCTGAACCCAAAACTTCTAAGCTCCTAAACCCTAAAATTCTACGCCCCTGAAGCCCCCACCGAAGCCCCCTGAAGCCTCGAAATCCCAGTCGTCCGAGGCGAAGCAGAAGATGCTGTAGGGCGACTCGGCGGCCAGATAAGCAGCCTCGAGGTCATCCCACCATGGGGGGCTTGTGTGGTTGAGAAATTGAGGTTTTAGGGCATTTGGGTTTAGGGATGATGGTGTATGTAGGGTTTAGGCCTCTCGAAATTTCAGCCCAAGAAGTCCCAACACAAAAAAAGGCAACGGTAAGAATCTGAGGGGCTCCCGCAGCATCGTCCCTGGGCAGGGTCATAGGGTAGTGGACCGGGGCCATAGAGTTTACGGTTGCAGCAAACTTGCAGGGATCCTTTCCGGAAATCATAAAGCTGGAGCGCAGCAGAGTTGGTTTTAGTATTGGGGGGGGGGGGGGGGGGGGGGGGGGTAATGATTCTGCAGCCTCAAAGCACATGTGCGCCCTGGATTCAGGCCGCAGGAGATTCTTCACAAACATCCCCCGCCTGACCACCCTGTCCACCTCCACATCGATATTGGTGTAAGCTGTGGGCACATACTGGAGAAATGACACAGGGCTGCTCGCCCCCGTGATCTTGTCCTGCATGTTTTGATTGTTGGGGCGGGGTGACCCTGGACCATCATCCCCGAGGTGTCCTTGAAGTTTCCGCTGGCAACGTCTGCAGTGTCCACATATGTGGCATCCACAACAGGTAAGGTGGGCATGCACCACACCGTACCTGCCGGCAAGAAGACCGCATGACACACTGCCTGTGTTACTCTGCAACGGCGCCGTGACTGACTACCCCCGGCTGCGTGGCTAGATTCGGGCGAGACTTCCCGGAAACTCGAGTCTAACTCAGGCTTAGGGTTTAGGGTTCCAATGGTTAGGGGTCGCCCCTTCACCATTCGGGCATTTGGGGAAACAAAAGGGTCGAACATGCGGCCCAGGCCTAAGCGCTCTCTTGGAGGGATTTGCATATGGTCATTTCTCAAAATGCCACTCGCCCAACATGTGTCGGGGAATGCATGCAGTTTGGGGGAGGCCCCATGTCCAAGATGACAAAATGCCCCTCCTACGGGAGATGAGAAAGCAATAGCAAGTAGCACGTTTGCATCTGAAACTCTTCAAAACAGTACAGAGTGGAGGCATTCTGTAAGGCGTACAGGGGTTGACGTTGAATTTCAACGGTCACGCAGCTTCAGAGTGAATACTAAATCCCCTCGAAACCTGGCCAAGGTGCTTTAAGATGTAGGGCTTAGGTGGTAAGCCTGGGATCTGGGGAAATCCCTGGGCCTACAAACCTGCGGGCCTGTCTGGTGACTGGCTGTCTGGACAACCCCCGTGCACATGTTGCTAGCGCCGTACTAGCACCGCGCCAGCAACCTGTTTTCCAGCCCCGAAACGCGCCAAAACCATACTTGTTGGCATCGTTCCCTCAGGTGTTGACTCTGGCTTGGCTCGAGTGTAAAAGGGTGGCAAAAGCAGACTCTGCTTGTTAGGTCCGCCTCTCCAGCGTAGATCCCTTGAGTGGTCGGGTGGGGCTAAGTGGTTGGCAGACAAGATGCGGTACGTGTGTCAGGGTCTTCGGCCAGCTTCAGGGTTAGGGCTTAGGGGTTTCCAGGAAAATTGGGCTTAGGGTTTGGAGAGCCTGGCTCGTTGAGCTGAAGGGTGATCTGGATGGTGTCCTCGGATAAGGCCTCTGAGGAGACGTAGATCCTTTGAAAGCAGATGCGATGCTCAGGTACTCTACAACGCGTTGAGAGTGGGGCTTATGCCACTCTTCCCTCCTACATCTCTGGATGCACCCTACTCAACCCTAGGCTCTAAGCTCTTGATACAAAGAAAGAACCTACCTGAAAAAACAAGCTGTGGCAGAACCGAGGTGCATGGACGGTGGCGTCAAGTCCTTCACCCAGACGTACTGCGTCTTGCCCCCACTGGGCGACGTTTGCGCGTGGGCGAGAGTTGTGCCCACCGGCGTGTTGACGTAGGTCTCGCACGGGGCATCCACAGGCCAAGCAACGAACCCCCCCCCCCCCGGCGAAAGCCCATGTCACTAACCGTCACCGGCCGTCGTCAAACCCCCCACCCGAAACTCAAAAATCAAACCTCAAGGCCCTCAACCCAGAACTCGACACCCGAAAACTCCTTTTTTCAAAACCGCTGATGCCCCGAAGCTTGGCCTGCGTCATGTAGTTCGGCCGCGGCAGTCCCTGAGTATTCACTGCCGAGTCCATGGCCCAGCAGTAGACGTCGTACTGCGAGGCCTCGTGGCAAGTCTGGGTTGCTGTGCAAGGAGCCTAGATTGCGCTATCCCACTCGGGTTATGCTGCACAAGTATTCGGTTACCTGGTTACCTTAAGCTTTCTGCTTTCTGCTTTCTAGGCATCGAATCCTGTAAGGATGCAGCCCTGTTGGTGCACCTAGTTTTGGTAAAACTGATCGGCGTCGTCTGCCAGGTTTGATAAATTCGTGAACCCCATGCCCTGAAACCCATCAACAAACGGATCCCTCGGCAAACCCGCAACTTGAGCACGGTGTATCAGGCTGGACAGTCTGGGCAGCACAATGTAAAATGGCACGCGTCTGAGCCAGAGCTGAACTGCAACAAGGACTGCGTCGTTCAGCAGCAAGCAAGTCTGGTGGCGACGCCGATGGACTTTGAGAGGCGAAGGAAGTGAAAGGACAGGTGGCACAAAGTCACAGAGGTGCAAGAGCACGAAGCCAGTGTGATGGATTTCGCGGAAGTGCCACAGGCGAAGCTCCCAACTTTCCTGTCCGTCTACAGGTACGAGGGGGCATTGTACCTCCCAGCACCGGCACCAAGCAGAGAAACGCCTCCAACACTTGGAGGGGGAACCAAGAAACTATGGGTGCCCTGTATGGAGCACCATCCACGATCAATGCTGTCTAGATCAAGGCTGTCAAGAACAGCATCACTCTGCCGACATGTGGCTGGTAAAAGGACCATACGTGCCACTGTGACCGTCGACTAACCATTCCGCTGAAACGTGTCCAATTAACCACCGTAGTGTCCAACCGTAGGCAGCAGTGGCCTGAAGTTACCTTAAGCAGGTAACTTATTTCAGTCTGAACACCAACCCAGACGCAAGCAGGGCCAACGCACGCCCAAGGCACTGCACACTGTATACCCCCAAGGCACTGCAATTGTTGGCCACCGTTCACTCACTACTTACCACTCGCACATTGACACTTTTGCAAGGTCCACGGCCTTGTCACATGGTTGAGCGAGCCTCTTGCCTCGCATGCCTTGCATAGCCCAGAACCCTACAACAGCGCAGCCCTAGCGTAGTTCCCTGCTTCCCCTGCCTCGTAGAGCGTCTGTGTGTCCGAAGACTCCAACTTGTCGATCGTGATCGTTCCCTCAGGTTCTTACTCTAGCGACTCTGGCGTGGCTCTCCTGTAAAAACGTAGCAAAAGCAGACTCTACCTCGGGGGTTCCTTCTCTCTGTTCGGATGGAGAGGTGGGGGAAAACTAACCCTGTTTCTTGAGCACCTGGGCTTTCTAGGGTTTAGGGTTTAGGGTTTAGGGTTTAGGGTTTAGGGTTTAGGGTTTAGGGTTTAGGGCTTAGGGCTTAGGGCTTCGGGCTTCGGGCTTTCTATGTCTGATTCTCCAGCATAGAACCCCCGCAGTGGTCGAGGCTCCACGATGCCGCCAGCGCCCACACTCTGGTAGTAGTTGGCAGACAAGATGCGGTTGATCCTGGAAGGGTTTAGGGACTTAGGGCTTAGGGTGTAGGGTTCAGGGTTTAGGGTTTAGGGTATAGGGTATTAGGGCTTAGGGTTTAGGGTTTAGGGATCGGTACACCCCACAAGCTGAGCTGGGCGCTGCAGGTCTGTCTCCCCAGAGTCACTCCGCGTGGTGCGGCAGTAGGCCGTTCCAGCCTGCGCAGCTGGGATTCAGGAAGGACTTCGGGATGTTTTTGGGTAGCTTTGGGGGTTTGGGTTGTTGTCCCCCATACCCCTTAAGTATACTAGAAGCCGCCTTGAAAGGATGGAAACCGTTTATGCTGCCTTGAAGGAGGCCCTGAACAAAAGCCCGTGGAGCCACGACATGCCACGCACCTCATTCAGCGAGAAGGTGACCACGAGGCGGTCGTTGTTGTCCGTGGGATCCTGACATGCCCCGACGTTGGGGCCCTGTGGTTTAGGTTTGGGGCTTTGGGGATCTGAGGGTCCCAAGCCCGAAAGCCCTAAACCTGTCAGGCTTTCGGGGTCCGGGTAAGGACTTGCGGTCTCGGGTTTAACCCCCAAACCTTAACCCTGCAGCTTCGGTGCCCTAAGCCCGAACCCGGAACCCTGCAGCTTAGGTGCCTTGATAGAGAGCTGCGTGAACTCAGGGGGCGTCTCATCGAGGGTCCTCGTGGGTCAGCGGACAGCAACGGAGCTTAGGGCTTTGGGCTTGGAGTCGAGGGCTTAGGCGGCCAAGGGTCCACAGCTACACTTCATGTCAGAGATCCCTGCTGAAAGGACTCCACTTAAGGCTAGAACCCTAAAGCCCTAAACCCAAAGACTCTGAAAGCCTCAGACCCTGAAGTCCAAAACCCCTGAAACCCTTGCATGCCGAATGTCTGAACTGTTCCGATGCCCGCCCAGATGGTGTGGACATTGTCGGGTCCGGTATTGGCCTCGGTCAGAACGTCACAAAATGGGGTTCAGGGTTGCGGGGTTCAGGGGTTTATGGCTGGGAGTTTGAGAACCCCCCCCCCCCACTTGCAGCACACTACAGCTTGGCTCAACAGAACAAAGCGCTGGAGCATTCCAGCAGTCTTCCTGCCGCACAGCACAGATTGCTAGAAGCTCAAGGTCGGGTCTTCTGCCCTTCTGACTGGCTGCTGAGGCCATCTACATGTACCAACTCAACAGCATCCGGACTAGGTCCAAACTTTCCTCTGAGCGGCAAGGTCGTCCCACCTCATCACGTTTGGGCTGCTACCAGGCCCACTGCTCCCACCATCCGTCTCATCCTTGAGAAGGCAAACATGCCAGAGGAGATGCAGGGAGGAGACAGGTGGTCAGCTCTCTAAACTCTGGTCCTTTTGGGGGCTCCTGCTTGCATGTATGGTATACGAAAAAAATGTGACAGTCATTCATCAAACACAGCTCCCACACGGAGAGGCTTCAGGCTTGGTTTGGGTGTCGCTTCCGAGCCCCAGGCGTCTTCGGCGTAGCAGTAGATGTAGGGGTAGTCTGTCTCTTCATTGAGGCCGCTGACGATGATGTCAAAGTCCTTTCCACACAAAAGAAGACACGCAACCACGGAAAGCTGACTTTGTGACCACTGGCAAGACCTCACACACGCCAACAGCAGAAAGATGCAGGAAGCTCAGCTCTGATTCCCGACATGGTTACAAGTGACCGACTGGGCCTATCGAAACAAGCTATTCGGAATTTGGCTAGACGCAGCAAACCCTTAACCCCTGAAACCCTTAAACCTCTAAACCCTTAAATAAGTAAGAGACCCTTAACAACCTCAAACCCTTAAACCCTTATATACCCTTAACCCCTTAAGCCCTCATAAACCCATGAACCCGTATAAAGCTTAACACCCTTACAAGTCTTCAAGCCTGGGTTCCCACGATGCCTGCACGGACCACACGAGCTAAAATTCAGGCCCCTCTGTCTCTTGCGTATGCCCTTTTCTATGGTTATGATTACCCTTAAACTGCATCATGGTTATGATTCTCGCTACGAGAACCATTGCGGTGCGCTCGTTGCCATTACTCCAGTTCTTCTTCTCCTGGTTGAACTTCCAGTTGTCCAGGCTCTCGTACTCGGCCTGGGTCGAGACGCCGTCGGCTGCAGTGTCTTCCAGGTCATCCAGATCCTCGGCATCGGCTTGCGCCAAACTTCATCCAGAATGCTGAGGGTTTGGGGTTTCGGGTTTCGGGTGGTGGGGTTAAGGGCGTAGTATTTCGGGGTTTTGGGGGTTAGCCGAAGGCTATTATGGCGGAAGACATCCTACGGCAACAACTCCCCAGTCTCGACCGATCAGCCACCTGGTCAAACCACCTCACTTTGTTCACAGATGGGAAATCAGGAAATATGAGATCTATTTAAGTTCTGACGTCTACTGCATGCTCAGATACGCCAAAGCTACACAAAGATCTACGTTTACATGGTTTGGTGGCAGTATGACTGTGGCCATTGCCAGTACTATTGACATAAATACTGTTGACTTATGACTTGAGTATTGACTATCTACTCTGTATTCTGTACGCGGAGTTTCTACTACCCAGTACAATTAAATCTGCTTCTATTGTCATACTTTGGGATGTTCCCCCTTATACTAGCAGTCCTTATTTGGGATTCTAGTACCCCCTACTAGAATCCCCATTAAGGACTCTTAGTATAAGGGGGGAGCATCCCAAGTCATACTCACGCTTGTCCGTGCCCAGCCAAGTGTCGTAGATCCAGAAGGTGCCACATTGGCGGCCTGCCGCTCATAGGCTTTGCAGGGCTTCAGGGGCTTCTAGGGGCATAGGGCTTCTGGGTTTAGGGTTTAGGGTTTAGGGTTTAGGGTTTAGGGTTTAGGGTTTAGGGTTTAGGGTTTAGGGTTTAGGGTTTAGGGTTTAGGGCTTCTGGGTTTACCACCCCGGGCTTCGGGTTTCGGCAGTGTCGGATTCAAAGAGATGGATCAACTCTTGGCTCCCAGAACTACTTGGGGGCCTATAAGGGGTCCCTAAACACGCATGTCCCGCCTTTGCTGTCGTGGCAGTTGCTCTGCTGGCTCTTGATCAGAGTGTCGTAGTTCAGCGACGTCAATCCTGGCGTTTGGCAAGATGCGCTTCACTGCCCAGCAGCTGCCTTCCGAAGGCTAATCTTCCCACGACTCCAGCCCCGCTTGAGTGTCGAATTTGCATGCACGGGCGAAGGCCCCTGGGCCCACTACCTGGATCGGCCGCCCAAGCTGCGCACCACACCTGGGCAACAAGGATGGGAGAATCTTGGAAGATGCATACTGATTCGTCGGAGCCGGAGGGAGCAGACAGGCCAGCAAAGAAACGCAAGGCATCAGCGTGCACCGGTTTCTCCCCTCCCCGCTCGTGCGCTCTCGTGTTCCAGCACCCAAGTCCGGCACCATCGCGCCCTCGTCCACCTGGCGTCACAGCTGAGCAGGACCCAGCACAACTTAGCAGCTTGCTTCAAAGAGCCTGCAGAGTGATGATGATCTGGCTGGCGGAGATGGACTCGGCCATGATGAAGCGCATGTTCGGTCGGGTGAGGTCCAGCGTGGTGACAAAGTTGTTCGGGCAGGCCTCAGGACATTTCGGGGAGGGTTTTCGCGCCAGCTCCCTCCCCCCTTGCTCTCCGAGCCGCCTCGGCTGCAGCCATGCCATTTGGCCCATAGTAGGGGTAGCCCTCGGCGTCCTGACCCCAAGCAGATAGACCCAAAAAAACCCAAGACCCTAAACCCTAAACCCAAGAAAACCCTACACCCTGAAACCCTGAACCCTGAACCCTGAACCTGAAACCTTAAACCCTAAACCCGACACCCTAAACCCTACACCCTAAAACCCTAAACTCCCTGCTTCGTCATGGCTTCAGGGGGTCCTGCGCCCAGCAGTAGACGTCGTAGTCCCACTTCCGGTTCAGAGGCTCCAGGCCTCGGCAGGCGGCCGATCCCTACTTTAGGCTTCTTGGATGCTTTATGGGGTAACTTCGGGGGTTTAGGGTTTAGGGTTTAGGGTTTAGGGTTTAGGGTTTAGGGTTTAGGGTTTAGGGTTTAGGGTTTAGGGTTTAGGGTCTAGGGTTTAGGGTTTAGGGTCCCAGAAGCGACCTAAATCATCCTAAATCTACCGAACTCCTTTGTTCAAGTTGTAAGACACCGAGCCCAGGGCCGGTCGCACCCAGTCCCGTCGTGATCTGGTTCACGATGATGGTAAAGGCTGAGGTTGTGGACACGTCCATGTAGAAGCCTTTCGCTCCAAAAGCGAGAATTTCCCAGGATGTACCGACAGCATGTTGAAAAACGAAGCCAAAACGAGTCCTAAGACAGGATGTTAAAAATGTATACCCCAATAGGAACCCCTATGTACCATCAAATAGGAACCCTCTATACACCATTATCGGAACCCTACACACCCTTATGGGAACCCTACAGAATACCACACAAGTAGGAACCCTACCTAAACCCTAAACCCTAAACCCTAAACCCTAAACCCTAAACCCTAAACCCTAAACCCTAAACCCTAAACCCTATACCCACAAGTAGGACCCCTCGAAGCCATCGGGCCCGGCCTTCGGCGATGACTGCGTTGGGCGTGGGCGGGTCGAAGCCTTTGTTCACAACCTCTGGCAGTTTAGGGTTTAGGGTTTAGGGTTTAGGGTTTAGGGTTTAGGGTTTAGGGTTTAGGGTTTAGGGTTTAGGGTTTAGGGTTTAGGGTTTAGGGTTTGAAGCTTTAGGGCTTTAGGGTTTTAGGGTTTTAGGGTTTTAGGGTTTTAGGGTTTTAGGGTTTTAGGGTTTGAGGGTTTTCGGGTTTGAGGGTTTTAGGGTTTTAGGGTTTTAGGGTTTTAGGGTTTTAGGGTTTTAGGGTTTTAGGGTTTTAGGGTTTTAGGGTTTTAGGGTGTTAGGGTTTTAGGGTTTTAGGGCTTGAGGGTTTGAGGGTTTGAGGGTTTTAGGGTTTTAGGGTTTAGGGTTGAGCTCAGGGTTAAGGGCTAGCTCGGGAGAACGGTATGCAAGGCCGAGCCAAGATCTCATGACGTCTCTACAAACCAAAACCCTATAACCCTAACACCCCTAAAACCCCCCCTAAAACCCTAGGCAAGCACAGAAAAGAGAACTGAGCCTTGCAGTAAGCTCGACCGGCTTCGTTCATGCTCAGGGTCACGGTGATGCTGTCCTGGCTAGCAGTGGTTGCTTCATAGAATATATAATAGATCATATACAATAGATCGTATATAACATATAGTATATAATATATAGTATACAGCATATAACATGATCTATACATATATATATATATATATATATATATATACGTTTGCTGGATTAGGGTTTGGGTTTAGGGTTTCCAGCGGACATTTGCTTCTTGGCTGCACCCAACGGCTGTACTCTGCACCTGAGTGCTGCAGAGACCGTGGAGAGAGAAGCAAACTACCTTCAACCCTAAACCCTAAACCCTAAGTAAGACCCTAGACCCAAAACCCTAAACCGCACCCAAGTGCAGAGAGGAGTCCTCCGTAGCCGGGGTTTCAGCACACGCGAAAGTGCCAAAGCTGGGAGGAGTCGTGTCCAGCGTGCGAACCTCAGGCGGAACCGTGGGAATACAGGAGAGCTTCGCTCACCCTAAAACATCCGGTTTAGGGTTTAGGGTTAAGGGGTCTGGGGTTTAGGGTTTAGGGTTTAGGGTTTAGGGTCTAGGATTTAGGGTTTAGGGTTTAGGGTTTTGGTTTAAGGTTTAGGGTCTGGCCAGCTTCCCTCACACATCTCCTCCGTCGCGAAGCCGACATGACATCTTCGCAGCTGAGCGCGCCACACTCCGCTCCGTGCCCAGCATCTGCGAGGACGTGACCACGTTGGTTGTTGGGATCTCATCGTCGTGCGAGTAGCAGTAGACCTTTTGCAAGACACCTTCCTCTCTGAGCCCTCAACCCTGAACCTGCAACCTTTCAGCCCTCAAGCTTCAAGCACAGAGGCCAAAACCGCCCTGCCCGAAGAGCGGAGTCAAAGACCAAGCCCAGGGCCCAGTAGAAGGTCTTAGCCAGCAGCCCAGTGATGTCCACCTGCCACTGAGAAGACATTGGGGAAGAGGGGGGGGGGGGTTAAGGGTTTGGGGCTGTGGGTTCAAGGCTGTGGGTTCAAGCTCTCGGCGACAATATTCTAGATGATATCTCTTAAACCCGAGCAGGGAAATATATAGCAAGTGCTGAGTAGAGGGACCCTTAGAAAGACATGAGGTACATATAGTATGTAGAGGGGGGTTATTTGTAGGGTCGAGGAATACAAGCTAGCATCCCCAGAAATCGCTACCAAGACAATCCACTCCGAAATCATCCCCTCCTAATGTAAAAAACACGCCTATGAGGTCCCTGCTGCTCGTAAGATTAGTGGGAATGGATTACGTCTGCATGGTTCCCCTAAGCCTTGAACTCCCAGCATTTGCTATACCCGAAACCCGTTCAGAGCAGGTTCCGAAGCTCCCGCCCTCGCCTCGTGTTCCGCGAAGCCCTTCACAGAGTCGTAGACCGAGCTTCCAACGAAGTTGGTTCCTTACTTCATGGGCCTAAAGGCTTCATGCAACGCATGTCCGAAGTTGAGGAAATGGACATTGACGCATCAGCTGCCGTTTTGTGCCAGTCTGGTCCACCCCATCTGTATGGATAAGTCTCCCCTCCGAGCTAGATGAGGAACTGGACGCCCTCAAAAGATCCGAGCCGCTAAACTCTGACGCCTCCAAACCTAAGCCCTGACCCTAAACCCTCAACCCTGAACTCTGACACCTCTAAACTCTACACCCCAAACCCTAAACTCACAAGCCCAGCCGAGAATCCTGAGAGAGTGTTGATCTCGTAGGTGCAGGCCGTGCAGTCAGTCAGGGTCGGGACATCGGTGCCGCCCTGAATAAAAAGGGCTTTGGATGTCTTCAAATACTCTGCAAGGGTTTTGGCTTTAATTTGGGTCAAATTAGGGTTTAACTAGGGTTCAACTAGGGTTTCATTAGGGCTCAATTTGGGTTTAGTGAGTGTTCAATTGGGGTATAAATAGGGTTTGATCAGGGTTTAGGGTTGCCATCTCAAGGAGCAGCAAGCCGTCCTGCGAGAAAGGCGTGAAGACACCGCTGTCATATGCACGGCAGTACCTCAGCTCTGCTTCGCGCTTGTGCACCCTAAACCCTAAACCCTAAACCCTAAGCCCTAAACCCAAAACCCTAAACCCTAAACCTAAACCCCAAACCCCGATGTGCGGCTTCTGAGATCCTTACGTCGTGCCCGACTCGTCCAGGCGGATGGTTACTCGGATGACATTCTCCGTGATGCCATACCTGGCATGAGAGGTTTAGGGTTTAGGGTTTAGGGCTTAGGGTTTAGGGTTTAGGGTTTAGGGTTCAAGGTTCAGGGTTTAGGGTTTAGGGTTTAGGGTTTAGGGTTTAGGGTTTAGGGTTTAGGGTTTAGGGTTTAGGGTTTAGGGTTTAGGGTTTAGGGTTTAGGGTTTAGGGTTCAGTGCTACAGCTGAAGTTGGCTGCGCAATCCCATAGCAGGACAGATGGGCCGGTGGAGACACGCCCCACTGCGCTACTGGCGAGGTCTTGTCTGGACTTGGAGAAGAGGCCTGCCCCTTTCAGCCTCGTTTAGGGTTTAGGGTTCAGGGTTTAGGGTTTTTAGGGTTGAGTGCCTTGAGGGCTTTGAAGGCAACTAAAGCCAGGGGGGCATGCTGACCACGGTGATCTGTGGCGGCGTCAAGTCCTTGGCAGCCCACGGTGGATCTGGAACCGGAGCGACACGACTTTCTGCGGCGAGGGGCAGGACCCTAAACCCTAAACCCTAAACCCTACACCCTAAACCCTAAACCCTAAACCCGAAACCCTAAACCCTAAACCCTAAACCCTAAACCCTGAACCTAACTTGAGGAAGTTGGAACTTGCAAGCATCCCTGCCCTGCGCTTCCTCACGCGGGAGCTGCTCTCAAAAAAAGTTGGAAGAGAAGTGATGTAAGCCCTTTGCTAGGGCCCGACCACCAACTCTCCCTGCAAACTGGCAAACCCCAAGAAGCCCCCCAAAAGCAGAAACCAGAGACCCTAAGACCCTCAAACACCAAAAAGCTGACACTCTCAACCCTAAGCCCGAACCCCTAAACCCTGAACCCAAAACCCTGAACCCTAAACCCTAAACCCTAAACCCCGAGGCCCCTGCTGCAGGCTTCAAGGTGAAGCGGTAGTCCGACCTGAGGTCTCCACCCTTCGAAGGGCTTCGGGGGGTTTTAGGGTTTAGGGTTTAGGGTTTAGGGTTTAGGGTTTCGGGTGTAGGGGGGTCTTGAGGGCGTTTTTGTTAGGGCGGAGGGCTCCTCGAATCCCAGGGATGAAAACGTTGGGGATGGCCGCAGGGATAGCGGCACCTCAGAGCCAGCCTGTCTAGCTGTCTGCACATGATCTCCCCACATATATACATATCATATAATAGCGTACAACACAATATAACAAAATAGAACTTGATGTTTATAAAGATGAGTAGATAGATCTGTCTATCTACTCATCTTTATATCAGTGACACTTGAGTGCGCTGTACATATCAGTATATGTATGCACGCACGCATACAGACATCCTGAAATGAAGAGTGCCCGTTGACTCTGTGCAGACGACCTGCGTCACCGCACTTTTTTATGCGATAGGGACTCGGCAATCGAGTGGATCAAACTGCGGCGTGAGAGCTTGGCTAAAGCTCTTTGCGAAGAAGCCCAGACATTCACGCGCAAACCGCTCATAGCTTGACCTGCTGCATCTGCAACTCACGATGTAATCTGAAGCTGCTGCATCTCTGCTTCATGTGAGCTAACAGCCGTCTCTGCTGTCCGTACGCCCACCTTAACTTGCCTCAAATCCCTGTGCTCTTGAAGGACATTGCTGCTTGCTGGCTAGTAAGACTGGAAAGCCTGAACCTCAAACCGAAGCTTTCCATGTAGATCAGAAGAAAACCTGCTGTTGACGGCTCATGTTGACTTTTGATCTGAGTAGTGTTGATAGGAGCAGCTTGCTCGCCTGCTGCCCTCGGGATGTGTGGGGACGCCAAGTGGAGCTGCTCGCACAGTGAGCGCACTGGATTTTCCTTACACCATCTTCTTCACCCAAACTCCTGCTCATCCCTGTCTAGCTTCAGGAACTGCGAGGGCGTACGTCACAAAGCTGTCTTGGAAGGCTGCCCCCTGAACCCCGAAGGATGGCTCTCTAAGTTATGGTGGGCTCCGTAGTGCGAAAGGAACCCTATAGTGTCGATCAACCCTCATAGGGATCCTCAGCCGACTGAAATATTCAGACTCTGGAGTGGCTTGCAAGCATCTATCAACCCCAAAGACTTGAACCCCTAAACCAGGGCTCAGGGTTAGGGTTTAGGGTAACAACCCTCGACCCCATAAACCCCGAACGACACCCCAAAAGCCCCTTTTTGGCTACCCCCCCGGTGGCGCTGTCAAAAGAACCACTTGGCGGCCCATGTCAATGGATCTCAGCGCCAAGGCCACCCCGGCCTGGCAGGCGGGGCTTAAAGAAAGGGTTTCGGGGTTCGGGGTTTAGGGTTTAGGGTTTAGGGTTTAGGGTTTAGGGTTTAGGGTTTAGGGTTTAGGGTTTAGGGTTTAGGGTTTAGGGTTTAGGGTTTAGGGTTTAGGGTTTAGCGTTGAGGGTTTAGGGTGTAGGGTTTAGGGTTTAGGGTTCAGTCAAGCATCGGCCCTCTTCGGGTCTGCTTACTGGGGAATTGGTGGGGAACTAAGTTGAGCTCCTTAGCTGGCTTTGGGGGCGGGGAGGGGGGATTTTCGAGTTTAGGGTTTAGGGCTCAGGGTTTAGGATTTCGGGCTCGGGATCTATGGCTTGGGGCTCAAGGTTCAAGGGACCCTTTCTTGCGTGGGGAAGTTTGCGGGACGTGTGGGGGAGTGAGGAACCCAGGAGGGATCCTCCAACAAATTGTCACACCCAATGGCCCAACTCCTTATCACCAACCCTCCCCCGTCCCAGGCGCCTCAGTGAGCATTTAGCGCGGCGCTAAGAGGGACATAAGGTTTCCTGGCCCACGCACCCAGGGGGGGGGGGGTTCAGCTTCAGGGTTCAGGGCGTAGGGTGTGGGGTTTGGGGGTGGGGGGGGGGGGTTAGGGTACAGGGTTGAAGCGCCATCGCAAGGAGCAAACAGGCCTGCGACCGAGTTGATGAGTGCTCATGCACCTGCGCTCCACGTCGGAGGATAAGTTTCCGAAATCAGGGGTACCTTATTTGGGGGTCCTTATCATCAGGGAATCCTACTATTTGGGGGTTTGTTTTGGGGTCGTAAACCCCCACATGCTAACCTGGAGCAGAATCTGGCACCTCGACCTTTCTGACCTTCTGCCGTGCTACACTCACACTTCTGGATCCAAACATCCCAGGCCTTTGTCCTCCGGCATGGGCAAGGGGGCTCCCCAGCGAGTCCTCCGATCGCAGAAACGCTGCGCCTGGGGGTTTTTAGCCTGTTGGGACCTCGAGTGAAACCCAACGCTCCCGTGCAGGTTGTCCGGCATGTGCGGAGATGAGTTTACCTCCAAAAGCTGTTTCCCAAAGCCGAAACCTGAAAACTGCCCCCCCCCCCCCCCCAAAGCCCCTGACCCAAAACCAAAACCCTAAATCCTGAAACCCGAAAAAAAGAAAACAACAGCACGTCCTGAACTCCTTGCTGCGCTTCGAGTTGGAGGGGTATGGATAGGCACGGCCGGCAAAGCGCCTGGATCAGATTGGCAATTCAGGTATTGAGGCCTCAGGGTTTAGGGTTTATGTAGGGTTTAGGATTTTAAGGTTTAGGGTGCTAGTGCTTTAGTCTTCTAGTGCTCTCTGCACGGGGATTCCAGGTTTCGGGGCTCCGCTCTCCCTCTTTACCTCTTCTCATGGCCCTAAACCCTAAAATCCTAAACCCGAAACCCTAAACCCTAAACCCCAAACCCCTAAACCCTTTCAGGGCCTGCTCGAGAGGTTCAAATTCCTCGGCGAGACCAGCGCGAAGAGGTCTTTTGCGTAGCGCTTTCGATCCTGACGGAAGTCATCGTGAATGTCGAGTTTTGGGCAGGGATTTTTGGTTTAGGGTTTAGCGCTTAGGGCGGTGTAGGGTGTAGGGCTTTAAGGCTTAGGGGGTTACATGGGTGTTTGCGGGGCTTCGTCTTAAGGCTTGGGGCTTGCTCTGGGCTTGTAGGGTCTAGGGTTTGGGGAGGGCATATGGAGGTTCATGCTCTGACTCAGCATGAAAGCTTGGAAACTCATGATTTTACAGCTTTCTCCCTCTTGAAGGTGCCCATATCAAGCAAGTCTCAGAAGCGGTGGCGCCAGCCGCACTCTTGATGTTGTTGCCTAAGGCATGCAGACGCGAGGCACCGACACACAAATGCACGACCCCTGCTGCCATGGACGCTTCGCGGGCCTGCTGCCAAGATACTTTCCTGGGTGACCTGCAGGTTCCCAACCGTAGCCTTCCTTGGCCCGCAAGTGTTGCACTTCTGCAGGGGTGGTGGGATGCCGATCTTTCCTGCTAAAGAACATGCATCAATCTGAATCCCCTGATCCAGGCCCCGCAATGAAAAGGCGGCGCAGGCGTCTCCATGCGGATGTCCACTGCCATCATCAGCTTGGCCAGGGAGTTGCGATCCTCACGCATGGGTGTGCTTGAGGAAGCGGTCTGGAGAAGGGAGGGGGGGGGGGAGGGACCCTAGGCTGATCCGAGCTCTGATCGCCACCTGTATGTTTGAAGAGGCAACCTGCAACTCTGCCCCGTATCAGATGGATGAAGAAGGCCCAGAGAACGAAGGTGTTGCGCTTGACGTTTTGGGAACTCCGGCCGCAAAGATACATACCAGACACAATCATACAATTCATGAGGTGGACTTCGAGTATCCGAATCTTGAATACCGTTGCTTCTTTTCTCTTTCGTGCCTTTTGCATGTGTCGTTTCGCTGCAGAGTCCTCATTGCGGTTCTGAGCGCCTCGAGTACCTTCAAGGCCCCCGAAGGGCGAAACACCCCTTGAAGCCCCTGAAGCCCTCAACCCTAAACCCGAAACCCTCCTTCAAAGCCCTTAAAGCCCAGCCCCGGGTCCTCAATCTGCGAGGGGTTCAAGACCTTCTCACCACACACGGGGGGGGCTTTGGGGCTTTGGGTTTTTCTGGGGGGGGGGGGGGGGGGAAGGAAGGAGGGAAGGAGAGGATGGGTGAGTTCTTTGTGGGTTGTCTAAGGGGTTTTAGGGTTTAGGGTGCCCACTGTATATTGTTTCATCTTCTTGCGCCTTCTGTTAAGGGTTCCAAGCATGGGCTCTTAATTTGGGTCCCTTTTTGTATCTATACACAATGAGGGCCCATACTTCGGATCCCAATGACCTTACATTTTGGGCTTAGGGATGTTTGGGGTTTAGGGCGGCATTCTCGTGTGCAGGGATCCCCTAAAATAATACAAGGCACCCAAATGGGCGCCCTAACAAGGGGCCTTAGGGGCAGGGATGGGCGGTGGGAGGGGGGGGGGGATCATGCGGGCGAGTTGCCCAAGTCGTGGATCCGTCAGCGAGCTTCTCCGTGACGATCACGTTGGACGCACTCGTCTCGAGGACGACGTAGAAGTGGCAGAGGTGAAGCTGCTTGGCGCACTCCTAGCGCTAGTGTTCGGCATGCGTTCGTGTTCCTAGCTCCAGCCTCCTGCTTGGAGGCAGACTGCTGAGAGTGCGAGTTGGGATTGATGGCAAAACCTCCCAGGCCCAAGCCCGGCACACTTGATTTCGGGGGGGGGGGGGGGGGGGGGGGGGGGAAATGTTCTGCAACACATGTGCAGTGCTAACACCTTGTGCTCACCATCGATGGCTTCGACATAGAGGCGACCTGGTTGCAGCGGCTGCTAAAACGGATCACATGGGCTCGTCAAGACATGCTACAAGAAGCGGGTGGGCATTTCTGAACCGCACCTTTCACGAACTTCTCGCTCGGCGAGACCGTTTGCAGCCTACCTGCAGACATCGGAGGACATGGGACAATCAAGAGCTGCATGAACCAAGCTGCCCAAAGCGCTGAGGTCTCAAACGAGCAACCGCCACCCAGCCTTCGGACCTTGCACATCCCTTCCGCCGGATTCTTTTCAAACATGACCAGCCTTGCTCCACCTACTCATGCCCCATAAAGCCCACATATTCGAAGCCCTGTAGAACAGGAGCCCCCCCAAAGTCTCCATAGTTTCCCGGAGGTCCCCCGAGGCACCTCGTGAGCCCTCCAGGCAGGCAGGCCTCGAGGTTGTTTGCTGGGTGGGTTTGCGGGGTTTAGTGGCTTATAGGGTTTAGGGTGTGGGGTTTTTCGTGGGGTGTTGGGGTGTCTATGGGGCTTATGGGCCTCGCAAGGTTGGTAGGGCTTGGTGGGGTTTAGGGGCCCCTTAGGGCATACAAGGTTTCAGAGTCCTGCGCTTCCGAGGCTTTGCCCATCGCGCCTCAGGGAGAAGACCGAGAGCACCTCCTGGTTGCTGGCCTCTCCAAGGGCGGCTTCGGGGGGCTCAGGGCGGCGAAGTCGGGGATTGGGGGGCTTCTGGGGCAGGCGATCAGGGGGGGTTTAACCCCAAACCCAAACCCTAACCCCAAACCCTGAACCCGAAACCGCAGGCTGGGCGAGTGCCGAACCATCTCGGCATCTCCATCCCCAGGCTTTTCTTAGCAGGCAAAAAGATACATCTCCGACCTTTCTCAAATTGAGATTCTATGCTTTAGGGCTTGGGGGCTTAGGATGGCTTGGGCTTCGGATGGGGTGTGGAGTTTCGGTGGTCCCTTTCCTGTTCCGTACCCTGGATACACAGACGGTGGCCTGGGCTGCCTGAGTGGTTCGCACCTCGAGGCGGCCGATCCTTGGCCGCGCTGTGTTGCGTTCAGAGGTTGCTCTGCCAGACCAGCTTTTGGCCGCTAGTTCCACGTGCGCGCATTGAGGAGTCAGGGTCATGCCAGGCCGCTTGTAGATGCGGAAAATCATGCCGTCCTCTGCATGTTCAAATTGGGACAAATACAGTTGGATTAAAAACTCAGGAAGACTACAGTAGGACGGACCTGAAAAACCCGTCCTCGGTGGTCTGCGCAAACTCGGGCGCAGCAGTGGGCAAGATGTCCTCGAGCAAGGTGCGAGTGAAAATCTCGTCGACCTGACCAATGCACTGGACGTGCTAGCTGCAACAACCTAAACAGCCAGCTTCCATGACGTGGATGTTCCACACCCTTGTGGGCTCTTGATGCCACACCCTTCATGCTTCCGCTGCTGCCACAACAAAAACATCGAACATGGGAAGCAACGCGATTCCGAACAAAACAATCGCGCAGGGGTACCCTGTGATCAAGTAGTCCGCATGGTATACCCCACCAAAAGTTATGCATGCATCCTCACATGCCACAACCCCCGCCCCATCCACCCGCCCGCCCAGCCTTAATCAAGACCCGAAACTTAAAGCCCTAAAGCCTCACGCCTAAGATTAAAGATTAAACCCTAAACCCTAAAACCCTAAAACCAACCCTAAAATCCTAAAACCCTAAAACCCTAAAACCCTAACACCCTAACACCCTAAAACCCTAACACCCTAAAACCCTAAAACCCTAAAACCCTAAAACCCTAAAGCCCTAAAACCCTAAAACCCTTTCGTTCTGCAAACCCTCAACCCCTAAAACCACATAACGCACGGAACCTCAACCTTCCGGCTGACGCTCGTTCCAGGCCTTGAGTGTAGTGAGACCAGGTCTGACGACCACCTGCGCCTTACCTCCTCAAGAGGTTTAGGGTTTGGGGTTTAGGGTTTAGGGTTTAGGGTTTAGGGTTTAGGCTTTAGGGTTTAGGCTTTAGGGTTTGGGGTTTAGGGTTTACGGTTTAGGTTTCAGGGCTTTAGGGCTTTAGGGCTTTAGCGTTTTGGTTGGGGACCTGCTCTTAAATAGGGAGTCCCAGCATGAAAGGTATCTACAAAGGTACCCTCATTGAGAACAGTAGCCACATGAGTTTCCTGCGTTATGGCTTACACTTTGGGCTCTAGGATTCAAGACAACGGAGATTAAGGAATCACCCTAAACCCTAAAGTCTGAGGTTTAGTTACACTCGGTAACCTCTAAACCCTCGAACCTTGTAACCCTGTAACTTTGATAACCCCGTAACCCTGGCCTGTAACCCTAGATCCCCTCTAACCCTCAGACCCTAGAAACCTTACAACCCTTACAACCCCAACACCCTAAACCCTAAACCCCAACACCCCAAACCCTAAACCCCAACACCCTAAACCCTAAACCGCCAGCAGCCTAAATCCTAAATCCTAAATCCTAAACCCTAAACCCTAAACCCTAAACCCCAAACCCTAAACCCTAAACCCTAAACCCCACCCAGCGCTCCTTCCCGGAGGATTTGGAACCGCGAGGTCCAGGACCGAGGAAACTCGGAGCCGGCCATGCCTGGGTTGCTTTTTTGAACCCAACTAGGGGGGTTTGTGGGGTTTAGGGTTTAGGGTTTAGGGTTTGGGGTTTAGGGTTTGGGGTTTCGGGTTTGGGGTTGGGGGTTTGGGGTTTGGGGTTTAGGGTTTAGGTTGCGGGGCTTCGGGCTGAGGATTTAGGGTTTAGGGTTAAAGCTTACTGCCTTTTTTTGGGGGGGGGGGGGGGGGCTTAAAAGTTGAGGGGTTTAGGGTTGCAGGGTTTGTTGGGCTTGGGGTTGTTGTTTTGGGCTAGAGGGTTTCGTGGGGTTGTCGGGCTCAATGGGGCTGGGTTCAGGGTTTAGAGTTTAAGGCTGATACCCCAACGCCATCCCAGCAGCTCAGTACGCCCACTCCTCTCCCGGAAGCCTAACTCGCGTTTTCCCATCATTTGGGCGAGACTCCAACTGTGAAGTTCTTGTCGCTGAAGCGAGCCTTCCTGACAGCACGGACTCCCGTGAAAAAAATGAACAGCAGCCTTATCAGCGCAGACCGCCTGCAAGTCCGAACGAAGCCTGTAGCTGGGCTGAACGCAACTAGCAACTAGAACGAAGATGCCACCGACGAAAAAGCTAAAGCCTTTTGAGTGGGTAGCATCCTCTGCAGTGCTCCACTCCACCGCATGTCATGCCACCGCCGTCCTCTGCTTGGTGAGGCTTTCCTCCTCCTTGTGTCACAAGGTATACCACATTGTTGTGCGCAAGCGAATCACTGCTCACCAAAGCCAGCTGAGGAATCTGATGCTAGCGGGCACGCTGACATCATATAAAAGGCCCCCTGGCATGAGAATCTTTGCAGTGATCCATGCTGTATGCCGGCCTGAATGAGGTGGCGGAGCTTCTGCACGTAGTCCAGGTTGGGATCCTAGGGCCGCTAGAATTTCGGATGCCTGGTAGCTTTGTCTTATGTAGCTGTTCTCCGGCTCTGTGGTTTTACAGTTGCCGCATGGAACTCCCACAAGACCGGGCTATCTCCCAAACATATGCCGGAAAAAACAGCGCATTGGAACTGCATAAAGAACTGAAGCAAAAGGCTCGTTTCCTTTGGTCTCTTTTCATCGAAGGATTCATTTTGCTGTACGCCAATACTCTTATTCTGGATTCACTCAGCAAATGATTCAGAGAAACTACTGATAAGATTGAGTCTGCGCAGCATCGAAAAATAGCACGAAGAGAAATGAATGTAGCAAATTGCCCCCCATGCTTACAGGCTTTGCTGCGGTTACCCGGTTCTCTGCGTGGGTACTTCATTCACGAGGACACTCAAGGCCTGATCGGCAAAAATTAAGCTGTTACCGAAGGCCCGGGAATCCAGTGCAACAGCGGCTAATTGCTTACACTTAGAAAAAGACAACTGGTACCTTTTCCCCAATGCTTCTCATCCTTCTTCCCTCTCTTTCCTTTGCATTCCAGGGTTAGTGGGCTCGTGTCATCGCTCCTCGCAAGACCAAAGATGACAACCTTCCGACATCCAACGCGTCCCATCGAATTCTAGCGGTTCTTTCCTTCGAACTTGTATCTTCGTCTTTATCATGTGTTCTCCCCCGAAGTCTGAAGTGGGATGGAAGGACGACAGTGTGCAGTAGATTCCCCCGTGAATACGGCCACACCACTACTTCATGACGTCTTCTGGCCCGACCTGAATTTTTGCCTCTCGACAGGGCCAAGTTGCAGGAGGGATGAAAGAGTCCCCCTCCGTGATCCTGGACACATGGCGGTTTTGCGGAACTCTGAGACTTAGGAAAGCCGAGGACCCCGGAGAGCCCCACGCAGGCACCCTGCGGCACTCTGTAGAATCACCTGAAAGGCTACATATATATATATATATGTATATATATATATGTATATATATATGTATATATATATATATGTATATATATATATGTATATATATATATATATATGTATATGTATATATATATATATGTATATGTATATATATATATATATGTATAAATATATATATATATATATATATCTGTATGTATTAGGGGAGTTATTCCCTGCTATGCCCCTGAGCCCTAAACCCTACTTAAACCCTACAACAAGGACGGATGGGCCTGTCCGCCATCACAGGGTTGAAGACGCGCTGGAGCAGCTTGGCATCCTCCGCCTTCAAGTTTTCATAAGAGTCCTGGCAACGGCACGATGACGCATCGCATGACGGCGCAGAGGAGTCCCTATGCGAAACTGGGCACACCCCCTAGGGTTCCGGAGTATATTCAGGGGAACCTTTCGGGGTACAACCTTAGATAGGGGTACGGGTGCGGGTCTTCATCCCTTGGCAACCTGCCCCCGAAAGGTGCCGGGCGCTCCTCTTGAAGATTCTTCAAGAACGCCTGGGCACAAAGTGGTTTGGGGTTTAGGGTTTAGGGTTTAGGGTTTAGGGTTTAGGGTTTAGGGTTTAGGGTTTAGGGTTTAGGGTTTAGGGTTTAGGGTTTAGGGTTTAGGGTTTAGGGTTTAGGGTTTAGGGTTTAGGGTTTAGGGTTTGCATGGCTTGCTCGACGGTCGAGGAATGTGGTCGGGGACAACTTCAGGGACCGGCGGTTGGCTCGATCGGCAAACTACCCCCACACCCTGAAGCTGGCAAAACCCTAACACCACACCCAACCCTGTACTACCCTATAGGCCCTAAGCCCCTAAAGGCCAAACCCTAACTACCCCAAACCCTTACCAGATGTGGTCAGTAGCGGATTCAGAAACTGAAAACGCGCAGGTTCGGAAGCTGGAAAAACGTCAAGCCAAAAACACGGATTCAGGAAACTGGAAGGCGCCGATTCGGGAAACCCCGGAAAAGGGACTTGCAAAATTGTCTGCAAGCACCCTTGATGAACAATCATCCCCCCCCCCCCCACCCCCCACCCACCCTCACCCCCCCACCCCTCCCACCCCCACCCCCCTCCCACCCCCACCCCACCCCCACCCCACCCCCACCCCCATCCCCACTCCACCCAGGCCATGACGCCCCGCCCCAGGGTTCCCACAATCGGGCAGTTTCCTGAATCGCACCTCGTCCCCCGAAAATCATGATGGTGCCAAGCCACCTTCCCCAGAGTGACGCGGCCCTCCATGGAGTCGAACTGGGCACCTTGACTTTAGGGCTCTAGGGTTTGGGGTTTAAGGTTAGGGGTTAGGGGTTATTTCAGGGCATTGGTTCAGGGTTTAGGGTTTAGGGTTTAGGGTTTAGGGTTTAGGGTTTAGGGTTTAGGGTTTAAGGGCTTTCGGGCTTAAACGCAAGTCTTTGCAGACTAGCCTCAGCATGAACACTAGGATCTCCAGTCGTGTGGGGCTCAGAGATTCCACAGCGTGTTCGGGCTTTGGTCCCAAACTGTAGGCTTAGGGCTTAAGGGAATAGCCCACTGTGGGTTTCGAGACTCTTTGGGTCGTAAAATCCGCCTTCGATTTCTGGGGAGCCCCGCTGCAGGGTGGCAACGAAGTGGCGAAGCGCTCCGGGGCGGAGAGGTCAAACTTGTCCAGAGCAAGGTCCACACCTGCCCACAGTTGCAGGCGGGTGACGGAGGCAAGGGCCAAAACTACATAAAATGCGCAGCTGGTGCAATGGCAGAAACGCCTGGTCTCTGGCCCTCTGAACCCTAAGCCCTAAACAAACCCTGGACCCTAAACCCTAAACCCTAAATCCCATAATCCCCTAAACCACCTCGTTTTGTCACCCTTTCGAAAAGCCACGTCGGTCGGGGGACCTTGCGGCTGGTCCCGCTGCGTGAGCTGGAACCGTTGCGGCATGAACCTCACAGATGGGTGGAACCCGACGCCATACAACTGGATTTAGGGTTTAGGGTTTAGGGTTTAGGGTTTAGGGTTTAGGGTTTAGGGTTTAGGGTTTAGGGTTTAGGGTTTAGAGCTTAGGGCTTAGGGTTTAGGGGTCAGGGTTGAGGGCAGCCAGAAACCTTGAATGTGCTGAACTCTACACAAACATTCCTTGAACCCTACGCCAAAAGCGGATGGAACCGCAAACATCTCCAAGCCTTTGAACCCTGAACCATCCATCTCTTGAACCCCCTTAACTACCCAGGGCTGTGGTCCACCTGAACCCTAAACCCTAAACCCTAAACCCGAAACCCTAAGCCCTCAACCCTCAACCCTCAACCCTCAACCCTCAACCCTCAACCCTCAACCCTAAACCCTAAACCCTAACCCTAAACCCTAAACCCTAAACCCTAAACCCTAGACCCCATGCGGAGTCTTAAGGGAGGTTCGGAATCCACCAAGCGCCGGACATCGGGCGACCCGAAGGTCCCAGCTGCATTCCTGGCGGCACCGTGGCTGTGATGGGTTTTGGGTGTAGGGTTTAGGGTTTAGGGTTTAGGGTTTAGGGTTTAGGGTTTAGGGTTTAGGGTTTAGGGTTTAGGGTTTAGGGTTAGGGTTTAGGGTTTAGGGTTTATAGGGTTTAGGGTTATATAGTTTATAGGGTTTAGGGTTTAGGGTTTCGGGTTTAGGGTTTCGGGTTTCGGGTTTCGGGTTTAGGGTTCAGGGTTTAGGGTTTAGAACCCCAAGACATCCACATCGCGCGCCACCCCGCCTGTGATGTCGAATCGGCCAGGCTGGGACAAGGCTGCTCCTTGGAAGCGGGGCGGAGAAGGGTCTCCAAGACTTCGCTCTGGCAGCCCTGTGGCCCTGAGGCTTCCATTATGTATGTATGTATGTATGTATGTATGTATGTATGTAATACGTACTTACACAGAAACATGAGTATATATACGCACACACACACACACACACAAACACCCCTTTTTTTCCATTCTGTGTGGTTGACAGAACCCTCTCCAAGACGGAGACTCCCTCGTGCGGCTTAAGCTGTTTGGGTCCCTAAACCCTAAACCCTAAACCCTATACCCTAAACCCTAAACCTTAAGCTGTTTTGGCCCCTGGCCCGGCAGCGGCGCGCCGGGCATGGAGCTGGGCAGCGCAGCGCCCGGGAGTGCCGTGCGCTGTGCCAGCTGGAAGCGGTCCAGGCCTGATTTGGGAGAATTGAACAGGTTTAGGGTTTAGGGTTTAGGGTTTAGGGTTTAGGGTTTAGGGTTTAGGGTTTAGGGTTTAGGGTTTAGGGTTTAGGGTTTAGGGTTTAGGGTTAGGTTTAGGGTTTAGGGTTTAGGGTTTAGGGTTTAGGGTTTAGGGTTTAGGGTTTAGGGTTTAGGGTTTAGGGTTTAGGGTTTAGGGTTTAGGGTTTAGGGTTTAGGGTTTAGGGTTTAGGGTTTAGGGTTTAGGGTTTAGGGTTCGGATTTAGGCTGTTAGGGTTTAGGGTTGTAGGGTTTTAGGGTTTATCAGGCTCTTGGGGTTAAGAGTTTGGGGTGGTACTGCAGGGTTCGGAAGTTATTCGACAGCTTGGGGTTTAGCTTCAGGTCTAGCCAGGAAGGACAAGAACTAGCAATTGCTGAAACAAGAACTCTCTAGTCCGGTAAGCCTCACAAGGAAGATGCGGCGAGCAATGGAAAGTATACTTCTGGTGATTTACACTTGACCATGATCGACGGCTGTGGCGACGGCTGTACGGAAGCCACTGCCAGTCAGAGCGACAAGAGACAACAACGAGCTTGAGTACAGAAAGGACAGCTCGAGGTATAGCCCAAGGCAACAACACAAGCACCTAAGTCAGAAAAAACATAGAGGCCAGCCAGCAAGAACAATCATCAGCAGGCCTGGAGAGCGACAACTGACCACCAACAAAACAAAGCTTGAGTCAGAAGAGAAACTTGGCGGCAGCAGCCCTTCTAGCAGCAGGAGGGAGGAGCGGCAAATGGGCCAAGTAGTGCCTACTACTACGGCATCACAAAGTCGCGATGTCAGGGCACACAAGGCTCGGAATCTTATGCCCTGAATCAAGAAAAATAGATAAAGAATACTAGTAACAATAATTGACAACAACTACAATAACCTTAACCTGAAAAAAAAAAACAAAAAAATCTAGAACGCCCAAAATGTCCAGCCCTCCCTCCAGCCCTCCAGCAACGCAGATTGCTTGGGCCGCCCCACCGAACTCGACACCGCCGTAGATGGCGTGCAGGTTGCTCTGGAGGCCGGTCTGCATGTCCCGGATCTTCCCACCTCTTCACATCGCTAGCTCAGTCGTCGTTCGAAGAAGAAGAAAACAGCACAGAGGAATAAGAATGAGGGGAAAGGGAGTGGTACTCAGAACCGATGGTAAGGATACTAAGAACCAGAATGATAGACAAAGAGCACAAGAATAAGCATACTTACGGCAATAATGGCCACGACAGGGCATAACTATGAGCCTCCACACCATCTTTCTCAGCTGATCTGAACCACGCAGGCCCATGTCGCAGGCCCCAACTGAGCCCCTTTGAACGCAGATTCTTGTATGGCTCCACCAAACCCTAAACCCTAAACCCTAAACCCCAAACCCTAAACCCTAAACCCTAGACCCTAAACCCTAAACTGCAAAGTCGGCTGTCTGCCCCCCGGGCCGCCCTGGAGCTGGATCCGCGAGTTGCCGCGCATGTTCCAGAGCTGCGGGATCTCGGAAAAGGCCTGCAGACACCAAGAGAACCGTACACCTTAAACGTCTCGTCCCTCAACCCTAGCCCTAAACCCTAAACCCTAAACCCTCAACCCTAAATCCTAAGCCTCAAACCCTAGCCCTAAACCCTAAACCCTAAACCCCAAGACCTAAATCAGTGTGCGCTTTCTTCTCGCTAGTTTGGGAATCTCGGCTCGGGTGAAGTTGCTGTGTTATACTGCGCCAGGCATCTAGATTTTACTGATATGTTCACATCCTGCCTATACTGCACTTCACAAATTCCAGCTTCTTTGTTCCTGCCCTCTCCACCCCGACACACATACACACACCTAAACCTAAACCTCAAACTCTGAACCTCCGGAGTGGTTGACTGGATCATCTCCTCAGCGAGATCGAACCTGAACACTCAAAAGTGGCAGGGCACTTGAGGAGGGTTAGAAGGTTCCAGGCTTAGGGATTAATTTCGGGGTTAGGAGAGGAATCTTGCCTCGTATCCCAGATGGCAAGCAAAGCTTTCAACTTCGTATATACAACCCCTTCCTGCCACATTGGGTTGTTGAGGGCGCTCGGTGTTACGCAGCTATCCTTGCTTGTGGTTGGCGGTGGAGGCTTTCGGGCTCCGGCTGCCATGCGACACGCTGCATCGCCGAGATTGGGGGGGGGGGTACAAGCGTCACAGTGAACTCTGAAGCCTATGTACCCCTAAACCCTCAACCCAATGCTGAACCCTCAAACCGCTCAACGAGAAACCCATAAGAAGACTGGCCCAGAGACAAAGAAGAAGAAGAAGCAGGAGAAGGAGAAGCAGGCCACCACAAGAGTTCGCAATGCATCTTTGACTCTCAGCCCCCAGGCTTGAAGCCCCATCTGGGCTCAGAAGTGCTACAGCCTTTACCCCAAAAAGAGGGGGGGGGGGGGGGGTATGGTTCAGGGTTCAGGGGGGGAAGGGTTTCGGGAATTTCCCCTTTTCGGGAAGCCCCCCTTATCTCCTTGCAGGCTTCAAGGGGCCAGCGAGCATCCAAGGAGATCTTGGAATCGACCAAAAACTTGGCCATGACGGAGGCCTCCATGGTTTTTCGGCAGGAGGGCAAATCGAAAGCCAACGAGTCCTCGTAATCCTAGTTGCTGAGTACCCTGGGCCAAGAAAGGTTAGCGGTAGGACTATTTACACCCCTTAAAGGTTTTAAGGAAACCTCCTCGGCTACTAAGTCTTACAGAGCCGTATACTCAGGGTGCCCGAAAGAAGGGGCCATGAAAAGTTGCACATTTGCTGACTCCGGAATCCCTGGCCCTATTCGGTTCTGAGCTCTACCTGCTATTCGCGCCCGAGATGCGTTCTCCAGCCGATCCAACCCCGGGACCACCTGGAACAAACCCTAAAACCCTAAACCCTAAACCCTAAACCCTAAACCCTAAACCCTAAACCCCAAGAAAGGTGTGCATGTGCAAGCTTTTGGACTTCCGGAGGCCTTGGCCAACTCACGCAAGTGGAAGATCACACTCCTAGGCCAAGGCTTAGAGTTGGGGCTCTGGGTTTAGGGGTTTAGGGTTTAGGGTTTAGGGTTTAGGGTTTAGGGTTTAGGGTTTAGGGTTTGGGGTTTGGGGTTTTAGGGTTTTAGGGTTTTAGGGTTTTAGGGTTTAGGGTTTTTAGGCCTCCGAAAGCCCTAAGCCAGTAGCTCGGAGGTTCGCAGTTCGGGGAGCCTCAAGAAGCCTAGGGCTGAAAGTTGAGAGTTTTTTGGGCTTGGGTATCTGGGGCTAGCTCCTCGGATCAATGTTGCAGCCTGCACATGGCTTTACATGACGATCTAGGCCACTAGAGCCACAAATCTCCCACACTTAGCAAGCAGACAAGCTTCTTTCGCTCGGCGATGAGGTCGAAGTGGCGCGTAAACGCCTCCGCGAACCTGCAAAAAATCCCACGGACTGTCTCATGAGGCTGGCGAAAGCTGCAGCCTCCCTGCTCTCTTTTCTCATTGGGCGCACGCCCCGGCCTGTAGGCTTCGTTTCACGCGCAGCTATCATGTCCGCCCTACAGTTTCGGGGGCCGAACCTTTCTCCCCATCTTCCACGCACTGTGCACCACGACCTTCGTACTCACGCCACAGGGCATGACCCTCAGACCCCGATACTGATATCACAGCCCCCATTCTCGGAGCCCTCAGTGCCCAAAATGACCAGCTGGTATGAAGGATTCTACTACATTCTGTAGCGTTCCCACTAGTTCCATAGCTCCACGGTTCTTTCATACTGCCTGTTGGCAGGGTTAAGATTCAGAAGTTGGAGCAGGGAACCATATGACCTACTTGTAGGAGAATATCTAAAGTCTAAAGGGAACCCCAAAGAACTTACGCAAGCGCAAATTAAACCGACAAAGGCCCGCAGACTTTGCGACTTCCTAATTAACCTGCCAGGCCCCCCCCCCACCCCTGTCGACAGTCGTAGAGCAGTGCGCCAGGCTTCCTCTTCAGCTCCCATCTTCTTCATCTTCTTCTACTTCTTCTACACAACGGAGAGGCCGTCTTTCCCGCTCTCCCTCACTCCATACCTCCCTCTCCCTCTCACAAGCCTCTCCGAAACAGGTCGTACAGTTCACCTGTGGTGACAATAATTGAGTGTCGGTCTGAGTAAGGGTGCCGCACACGAGAGGGGATTCTAGCGTGCTTCGCGCCTGGTGAGCGGGTGGTGCTTGCTCGTGATCGGCTTGTCCTCCAAGCCCTTGCTGGTAACGACCTGCAAAAGGCTAGGGTGTAGGGCTTCGACCCCCCCCTCGAAGAGTTCCTCCCTGGCCAGAAGCGCCTGCTCGCGCGCTTCAACGCCCATCTTGACGTGAGGGACCAGGGTCTTGTCCTCCGCACGCACGGATAGAGGGGCGTAGGATGTCAAGCTTTTGCGCTTAGGGCTGAGGGTTTTGCTAGCGACTCTCTGATCGCTTGGGAATTTCGGGAGGGGGATTCCCAAAAACCCTAAACCCTTGATCCGGAGTTTCCTCGGCCAAGCGGATCTCGGCCTTCTTCACAACAAACCTCGGCGCAGGTTCTGGCGTGACCCGAAACCCTAAACCCTAAACCCCAAACCCTAAACCCTAAACCCTAAACCCTAAACCCTAAACCCTAAGCCCTAAGCCCTAAGCCCTAAGCCCTAAACCCTAAACCCTAAACCCTAAACCCTAAACCATGCCATCTTCTGAAGGCTTTCTGGCTGCTAAGGGCCTAGGGCCAAAGACTTTAGAGTCCGCAAGGTCGAGCTCGCATGAACCCTAAACCATAAATCCTGAACTGTCAAGCCGAAAACCCAAAAAGACACCAAGACTCCTCAACCCTGAAACCCCTCAACACCCCAAACCTTAAGACCTAACACCTAAACACCAGAGCCTCCTACCTGAACTCCTAAACCCCTCAACACCCCGAGCCTTAAAGCCCTAACACCTAAAAACCAGAGCCTCCTACTCCTAAACCCTAAACCCTAAACCCTAAACCCTAAACCCTAAACCCTAAACCCTAAACCCTTACCTGAACTCCCATCCGTGCGGCCACTCTCGGCCAGCCCAGGTCTTATTGGCATCGGTCATCTCCGACCAGTCGAAGACGCTCCTAAGAGGCTGTCGTGGCTTGGGGCTTGGGGTTTAGGCTTTAGGGTCTAAGGCCTTAGGGCCTTGGGGCCTTAGGGTTTAGGGTTTAGGGTTTAGGGTTTAGGGTTCAGGGTTTAGGGTTTAGGGTTTAGGGTTTAGGGTTGACAAAAGTTTAAGAGCCCCAAGCTCTAATACCAGGAAAGCTTCAACCTTCAAATTACCAAACCTAACACCCTAGAGCCCACTCCACCCACGCCAACAACTGTGTGTCCTACGAACCCATGTCTGCGTCGAAGCAACATCATGCCCACAATCGGCATTGTGTACTCACCCAGGGCCAGTTCCTTCAGGAAGTAGTCTGCCTGCCAAGTGCCCCGCACTTGCAGCCGTGTGACAGTCAGCCATCACAACCACCCATTCCCCTACTGTGGCCAACCTGGAACATGATGTCTCCGACGCTGGTACCAGCCAACCAAGCCGGCTCATAGCGCTTGCGCTGGGGGGTTGTCTCCTTAGGCTCGGGCATCAAGACCCTGAGTTGCGGAGTCCCAATCTGGAAGAAGAGCCCCTGGCCCCCCACGTCGCACTGCATGATTGATAAACCAACCCCAACCACTGTCTAGTGCCACGGGGCCAGCTTCTGTGGGTCGACCTCGGGTAGCAAGCCCCATGTCACGTCTTCGCAGGCGCGCGATCGTGTGGCGGCTAGCTCTGTGGTCGTGCTGCCCTCGTGCATCTTCTGCTCTAAACCCTAAACCCTAAACCCTAAACCCTAAACCCTGTTGTGGAGATGAAACTGCATACCATGTCGCAGGATCGAGGGAGAAGAGAGGCTCGCGGCAGGCTGTGCGGCGCACCTGGTCATGCCCATGTTGTGCTGAGGGCCTCTGGTACAGCACTTACTCGGGATCTGATGTGGCAACCTTACCTCTGCTATCACATGCCATCATTCAGCCTCTTCGCACATCGGAACGCCTTCCGACCCATGCTCCCCTCCCCTCCCCCCGCTCGTTTGAGTGCGCCCCATGCACGCCTTCTCCAAGGCCTTTGACGCCTTTCTGAGTTCTGCGCTAAACCCTAAACCCTAAACCCTAAACCCCAAACCCTAAACCCTAAACCCTAAGCCCCAACCCTTCCGTCCAGTAGAGACCTGCCTTCAGGGCCAGCATCAGGTACTCGAGGTTGACTGCAGCAGCAGGCTCCAAGGTGGAAGCGATGCGGACCTTCTCTTCTTCACCATCATGACGAACCCTGAAACCCAGCCGAGTGGTTTAGGGTTTAGGGTTTAGGGCTTAGAGTTTAGGGTTTAGGGTTTAGGGTTTAGGGTTTAGGCTCAGCCCTAACATGGCCATGGCTTTCGAGCTCTGGCAAAGAGGTGCCGAGCGGCGCTCCGCGAGGCCTCGTCGTAGACCAAGCCTCCCAGTCGCAGGCGACAAAACCGGAGAGAGAACCAACCGTCAATGAGCAAGAAGACTGGCCTACGCTCGAAGACTTCAAGAGAAAGTCTTTGTAACAGCCGGCGTGAATGACTCAGATCCCGAAACCTCCAAACCCTAAACTCTCCATTACATATCAGAATCCCCCTGCCAAGGCACAGCAGAGCCCCTTCGGCGTGGGCGAACATCCGAGCTTTGCTGCCACAGGGCCGTTCTCGGGCACCTCGGCGGAAGGGCTGAAACTACCACAAGCTCCCTGCACAACTTCCCCGACTCTCGGAACTCTGCTTTCTTAGGAATTACTAAACTTGGAGCTGCTGCTGCATTCAGCGCTCCAAGGGCTCCCCCACCGGCCCCCTTTCCTGGGTTTCCCACGGTCTCCGGGCGCCAGCCGATCTGGTACTCCAGTCGGCTGTCCAGCTTCTTTTGCCTGGCCAGCGTGCTGTTGCCATGAGGGAGTTTGCAAGTGCTCGGGAGTGACTGATGGTATGAGACTCTGCAAGAGTAGCTAGAAACGATGGTGGCGGTTGTGGAAACAGAGGGGTTGGCAAGGTGTGGCAGAAAGAGTTGGCAGAAACTGTCAGCTGCTTAGTTGTCCGGTAGCCTAGAAAACCAACGGTTTACCTTGGGAATTATGTAGGCATTAGAATACCCCAAACAGATCAAGCTTATCTACTCTGCTACTAAGGATGGCTGGGAGTTGCTACACACTACTTTGCCCTCGACAGCCTCTGCTCCTCAGTGTTCTTCTCATCCTGCTTCTGGGCATCCTGTCCAGGCATTGCGAGGCAAGGGATGCTGGGGCAGCTGTAAGAACACTTGCAAGCACACCCAGCAGCTTCATGACCATTCGGCAAGTGGAGATGGTCTGAGTCCTTCTGTTTTTTGCTTTAAGGGGATGCAGAGCAGAGCTCCTTTCCTTGCGCGCTACTTTGGATTACTCAGGCCTCCAACACGATCTGCGCCATGCACTCGGGATGCACCAGCTTGTAGCCCTGTTTAGGGTTTGGGGTTTAGGATTTAGGAGCTAGGGTTGAGGGTTTAGGGTTTGGGGTTTAGGGTTTAGGGGGGAGGTTTCTCCTTGTGGTCCTCTCTTGTAAGGGGGGGGTAAGGGGGGGAGGGGGGGGTCGAATGTGGAGACTTTGCGGGTAGCCAGGAACATGAAGTCAGAAAGCTGCCCGGCGGTCGGGAGGCTCCTGACCCCCGGCAGAGGCAGCTGCAGGGGGCTCAAGAGGCTTCGTGGGTCGAAGTTTCGGACCCCAGATCTTCCTGTTTCGATATGCATACTCACGAGTAAGCTGAAAGTGGTCCCAAGCCCAAACACTACAAAACCCTAAAACCCCAAACCCTGAAACCGAAAACGCTTCACACTCCAAACCTGAAACCTGGTAGCCGAAACCTGCAAGCAACCGAACCCCTGAAGCCACCCCACACATGAAACCCGAACAGGCGGTTCAAGTGAAGAGGAACGGCCTCTCCGAAAAGCCCTCTCAAAACCTCCTAAAATCCCCATGAAGCAAACCCTAAACCCTGAACCCTAAGCCCTCCCCAAGGCCCCAGAAAAAGACCCCCCCCTCCCCAAGCGCCTTCTCCTCTGGTCGGTAGGCTGTCTCCCCCATGGGCATGCCGCACCTGGGTCGGCTTTCGGGTTTAGGGTTTAGGGCTTCGGGTTTAGGGTTTAGGGTTTAGGGTTTAGGGTTTCGGGTTTAGGGTTTAGGGTTTAGGTTTTAGGGTTTAGGGTTGCGCCCGCACTCCGTGTTGACAGTTAACCCGAAACAAGAGGGGAACCCTGAACCTAAACCCTCAACCCTAGAAAACCCTCCTAAACCCACGAGGAAGAGGGGGTACCTGAAACTTAACTGCCTTAACCCTGAACCCTCAACCCTGAACCCTACACCCTGAACCGTAAACCCGCCACGAACCACAGGGGAGAGAGCCGAAACCCTAAACCGACACCTCAACCCTAAACCCTAAAACTCCAAAACCCGCCATGAACCACAGGGGGGCAGAGAGAAAACCCTGAACTCTTGTGTATCCCCAACAGGACACTCAGGATGGCGGCTCACCCCAACCCACTAAATGCTTGGGTCCGAGGGGTTAGGGTGCCCGAAAACGATGGAGAGATCTTCGCTGCAATCCAGGCACTGGCTGCAGAGCTGCACCTCCTCTCCATCGGAGTCCACTTCCTTACACAAAAAAGGACCCAGGCTTGAGACCATAGGGGCTTAGGGCTTAGGGTTTAGGGTTTAGGGTTTAGAGACCATAGCTAACTACAGGCTGCACAGGCTTCCAACCCACGGCTTCTGTGGCTTTGTGCCGGCAAGGAGCGCATTCCTTCTTCGGCCGCGGCTTCGTGGACTCCTTCTCGGCCATGGCCCGGGTCAGGAACTCCTTGGGGGCCGCCTGTGAAACGGGAGACCATGCCAACCACAGTTCAGGATATCGACACGAAAGCCCGAACTGTCTTAATGCTGCGCAAAGGCTAGCCTCAAGCCGACAGAGGGCCTCAAAGGCAGCTGAGTGGGGCTAACTAGTTCACGTACTGCGTACTGGCCATGGCACATCAGCTCTGCCATGTACAACCAACCGCACAGTCAGCAGCAGTAACAACGGCAGCCTTTAGACCGTAGCAGAGCAGGAGTAGCTTTGAGCACATTAGCAGCAGCACCAGGTACTTACAACACCAGCAATGGCAGCGGTAGTGCCGCCAGAACAGAGGGAAAGACAGCTGCACCAAGCCTCTCCACGCGCCTGTGGTGTGAACCATGGAAAAGCTTTCCTTGGCAGAGCTTTGGATTACTCTACGGCATTCTGAGAGGGCTTGTGACGAGCGAGAACGAGGCTCGAGCACTTGCAACTTGGCACTCACAACAGATGGAACCAGGACCGGCCCATGTGCCACCATCCCGCTTTTCATGATAGTGCCAGCCAAGCCACCTTTCATAGCCTGCCACATGCAAAAAAATCGTGCTGATCTGCAGGATGCGCAGGATTTAGGCCTTGGGGATCCGGTCTCCCGCCTTTGTAGCTGCCATCGCGGTTCTCCGCGAACTTGGCTTCGTAGAGCCGCAGCGCTTCCTGGCAACTTTCGAAGCCGACGTGCGAAGCTCCCATGCTGCCCTGCAGCGTCCCGCAAGCGGGTCCTTCTCTTCCGCGCTTGGACCCTCGTCCTTTGATGGCAGCACACCTGGCCGCAGTTTGCACTTGCGTTGCCACATCTGAATGTAACCAGATTCTGCAACTGCACTGCAGAGCCCCAAGCCTTCGGAGTCGGAACAGGCAGCCTGGCAGTCGCGGGAAGTTGCAACAGGGACGATGCCACAGAAGCGCCACACAAAATCTTGACGAACTGTGCAGCGCATCGCTATCCCGTGACTGCACACCATCACCACCCTCGGACAGGAACCACACCTGCTCTCCGCGTAAGGCCCGAAGCGCTGCACCCAACCCTACAGGACTTCAACCGAAACACTACACACCCTACCGACTCCTACCCTCAGTTCCCTAGAATTCCCTACTTTTCCCTATTTTTCCCTATTTTTCCCTGTCGTAAAGGTCCCTGTGTGCTCCGTGGAGACCTCGGGCGTCGTGGCGCCGCGGCTGTCGCTCTCGCTGCGCTCGCCCTCGCTGGTGGACTCCGTTGGGTCGGCCTCTTGGGGAGCTTTGTTTGGCATCCCCCTCAGTTCCCCAAAAGGGTTTAGGGTTTAGGGTTTAGGGTTTAGGGTTAAGGCGGTTAAGGCGGTTAAGGCGGTTAAGGCGGTTAAGGCGGTTAAGGCGGTTAAGGCGGTTGTTCAGGTTGAGGGATCCAGGGCTTAGGGCTCCCGAGGCTAGATTCCTGCAGACTGGATGCCCAGGGGCCCTCCTGCCTCTTTCTGTCAGCCACGTCCCCTCCCCCACAGCCTTGACGGCCAAGAGCTCGGAGAAGCGGCCGCGGCGGCGGGACTCCGCGGAAGCCTCGTTTGACCAAAGAAGGGGCAGGAGACAAGTAGGGTTGAGGGGCCAGCATTGGAGATGCTGCCGCGGTTCTGCTTCTATGAGGCTTCAAAGCCATTGCAACTTCTTGAGTTGAGGGTTCTGGGATTCTGGGACGCTCTTGTCCTACATTCCCCATGCTGATATCGAGCCCGCACTTGTAAGGCGGAGGCAAGGACTGTGTCAACGGCAGCCATGGGAGTGCCTTGAAAGCCACAGGCAAGAAAGGGCTTCCTCCCTATCCCAGGCGGACGAGCCCTTTGCCAAGCAGACGGTGCCAGCAAGCTACTTCTTTTCCGGAACTCATAAGTTGTGTTTTGGCGCTGTTGACCAAACTGTACAAAATCAAGAGGTAGTCCCTACAGGAGCCCACCTTGGAACGAAAAGCTAGTTTTGACTCTTGGCTCGGGGATCACGTCTGCAGGTCATAGAGGACGCCGATGCCCACACCAAAACCGTGGTTGAGCGTCGCATGCCCCCAGCCGTCTGGAAGCAGAACCAAATCCCCGGCATACTGAGAACACCTCGGCACGAACAACCCTGCCCCGGCGGCCTTCTGATCTCTCATACTAACGTCTGCTAGTTTAGCAGGATTTAGGCGAACCACCAATGACCCAATACAGTCGCGTTCCCGGTGGTCTCTCTCTCTCTCTCCCTCTTTTCTTCTTCTTTTTCTTCTTCTTCTTCTTCTTCTTCTTCTGGCTGAACCACTGGCCGTTAGCTTGGCCGTCTGCCTGTGGTTGTCCTGTCCATGAGGGATTGAAGCCCAAAGCGGCTTGCCATCTTCAGAATGACCCTGGCTGATTGAAGACCATGACACTGACACTGCGGGACAAAGCAAGGCGGGAGAACGTTGGGATCAGAGCACGGGTCAGGAGGAGGATTTTCTCAAGCCCCTGCAGCAAAAGACTGCAAGAGGCTTGCCTGGGACACATAAGAAGTCACATCATCGGCTTGCAGCATTCATTCCACATGCTATTGTTCTCTTCTTCTTCTGCTGGGCATGAGGGGACCCGGGGCCCCCCCACTGTTCTCTCTCTCTCTCTCTCTCTCTCTTCTCTCGCTCTCCCTCTCTCTCGTGTTTATTGTTGGCCTGGTCTTATTCTTGTTGGTCTGGACTTGTTCTTGCAACTCTTCCTCTTTTCCTCCTCCTCTGCGGGTCTGGTGAAACTTTTCGCGTGCCAACACACCCTTGCACACGGGCGGCCCTGGTACAGCTGGCAGTGTCTATCTCCCTCTCTCCCTCTCCCACCCGCTCCCTCTCCCTCTCCCTCTCCCTCTGCCTCTGCCTCTCCCTCTCCCTCTCCCTCTCCTCCCACTCCCACTCCCACTCCCACTCCCACTCCCACTCCCACTCCCACTCCCACTCCCACTCCCAGTCCCAGTCCCAGTCCCAGTCCCAGTCCCAGTCCCAGTCCCAGTCCCTCCCTTACCACAGAAACACAGTTGAGGCCAGCCGCCTAAAGACGTGGTCCATGGAGATGCCCGACCTCAAAGGATGCTTGCAGCAAATCGCCCTGCTGTCCCGGGCTCATCCGAAGCGACACTACCAGCAAGAACAGGCAGGGCGCCTGTCAAAGAGCTCGTAGGTTGCAATGCCAGATCTGGCAGCGAGGTAAGGGGGCGTCCTGAGTCTCGGCGGGCACAGCTCCTAGGACATGTGACCACTACGGCTGCAGAGGTGCCAATCCACACGGCTCAGCACTGCACTCGCTTGTCACATGCCTTTCTGAGCCCTCGGCACATACCATTCCTTCTCTCCGACAAAAAGGACGTTGAAGGCAGCCACATGGTAGTGCAGCGCCGCGCCGCTTCTGTCGCCACCCCAGAAGTACTGCTTGGACATGTGGTTGATACCGGGAATCAGCTTCTGAATTCTCTCTACCGTCTCCATCTGCGTCAGCTCCTTGGGGAAGATGCCTGCACATCGTCGTTTAACCCTCATCCTCATCATGATCGTCATTACCGGCATCATCCTCATCCTCATCCCCCTCCTCATCATTGCCATACACGTCATCGTCGTCATCGTCATCAGGTCAGCGTCCACGAGTCTACGGCTCATGTTCTGCGTTAGTGAATGACACATTGGTCTGCCGCCACGAAGTTTGATCAAGGCCTCATGGACTCATGCCCTCAACCCTGCCTGGCGCATGAGAAGCATAGTAGTTCGAGGTGTTGCCATGCCTGCACCAAATGGCCCAGTCTCAACACTCCTCTCCCGAGTTGGACTTACCACACAATCCACACACAACCTCGCACTGGGCGGGCTTGCCCTGTATCAGCGCAGAGATGCTGCAAAAGCCCGCACAGCACTTCAAACCCTCAGTCCGTTTGTGGATCTCTCAGTAGGCTCCAAGTTCAGGGCATCCTGGCCTGAAGCACCGAGCACCCTTTTCAGCTTCCTCTACTGTGAAAGTCTTCTCGCAGGGCTGCGCCCCAATGAGCTGAGGATAGGCGATGGGCCCCAGCTTGAAGTGAGAGGATTTGTGCACCTGCGTGGCATTTTCAGGGAAAGAGGATGCGGGATGCATTTGCTGTTTTGAGCAGGGTCCTGCGCAACCACTCTCTCCCTCCGAGTCTCCCCAAGTCCTACACTCCTAACCCTAAACCCACCCAGTTTTAGGGCTTAGGCTTTGGGGCCTAAACCCCCCTGCCTAGCAGCACACTACGGGGGCGCCTTCATGACGCGGCGCTTGGCCAGAGCGCAGCGATCCTCGAGGGCGGCGAAGTTCCGCACCAGCACCGGGCCTTCTCGAGGTGCTTTTTCATGTTTTTATCATGGGCATAACAAGGACAAAAAATTGACGGTACGAATGATAATAGCAATTCTAGCAGGAGCAAACACAAGGAGAAGATCAAGTAATCGTCATAGTCAGAGTCATCGTCATGGTAAAAGTAAGAGGATGATTGTGATTGCTACGACTAATCAACAAAAACACTTCAAAAATGGTCATCCAGGCACACATATGGCAAGAATAGCAAGTAGCAGTATTCATAAAACCTCGCAATCGAAATGCTTAAGGTTCAGGGTTTCCCAGGCCGAAGGCAGCAACATATCAGCAGTTTAGGGTTTACCCCCAAACCCCAAACCCCTAAACCCCTAAACCCTAAACCCTAAACCCTAAACCCTAAACCCTAAACCCTAATCGACTTGAGGGCTAAGGCCGAGGAAGCCGAAGCTCGGCCCATGTCCACGAACTTCGACTGGAGATCCTCCTCTGTCAGGGCATCCACCACTTCGAAGTCCTTTTGGCAGGGAATCACAAGATCCTCCATCTTCTTCTTTTTTAGGGTTTAGGGTTTAGGGTTTAGGGTTTAGGGTTTAGGGTTTAGGGCTTAGGGTTTAGGGTTTAGGGTTTAGGGTTTGGGGTTTAGGGTTTAGGGTTTAGAGTTTAGGGATCCCATCTCCGATCCCATGAAGCTCTAGCACCAGGATGTGACAAGGCACACAGGCTTCATAGTGTGGCCAGTCAGAGGCTTCCGTCCAGCCCAGATGTGTTGCGGAAATGTCCTGCTGCGAAGTGCAAGCACAAATCTCTGAAGATGTGCAGTCCACAGAGCTCTACTACCAAGTCATTGCATGCCATGATAATGATATCTTAAGCATGCCAATCATCATGGCAAAAACTATGACTCAACAACATCGTATCTGCGCGCACAATGAATGCTCTGGCTCTATATGCCT